GGTTTGTCTATTGTAACACCCGATAACAAACCAACTAACTTCAGATTCCACCATAATCGAGTGCGAGCATCATCAACGAAAAGTTTGCTGCAAGAATTTCAGAGATTGTCGTTAAATCCTTTACACACTAAAGCCCAAACGATCTTGGATTTTCTTCAAACTAAAAATGGCATTTCCATAACCACATTGAATTGTCAAAGTGTACAAAGCCATAGATTGGATTTGTCGGATTCTGTAATTCAAAAAAGTAATTTCTTACTTCTTTCCGAAACTTGGATGAGCAATGACCAACAGTTTGATATTCCTAATTTCAACTGCATTGCCCATTTCAAACGAGATTGCGTACGTACAGGTGGAGTTGCAATCTAAAATAGCAATGACACTACTAATATTTTAACACCAAATATGGACATAATCTTAAAAAATACCGGCGATATGAATGTTTCACGTACAGGAGTTGGAGACATTTGTTCAGCTGTATGTAAAACGAACAACGGAGTCGAAATTGTCATGGTAATAGTCTACATTTCACCAAATACAAAAATAGAAGATTTGAAACATTTCATCCATCGAGCGCTGATAAATAAAATAAATAAATATTTCCAACACTCACACCAATTAGCCTCGCCCCAAAGTAAGCACTGTAAGGCTTGTGTTATGGGATGCTAGGGTAACGGATAGAATACATATACTGTACATATATAAGTACACACATCAAAAGTGTCTAGGGATCAAGCATTTTTATGCGGATTTCTTGAGATTGAGATGTGGCTTTGTAATAAATTTATGATTTTATAAATTTATATGGATCCTTTTTGGTGCATTTCATAATTTGAATCAGGAACTGTGAATCAAATTCGAGTAAAAGATGAAAATCAGCTGTCAATATTTTCCCTATAAAAACATACAACGCATTGAAGACATTATTAGTGCTACTGTTTCCCTACTACTGATTAAAACCAACGTTATTATGGAGCGGCGACGTCATTTAAGCAGGGAAGAAATGCTCAGAGCCGTGGGAATGATAGAAGCTGGTTCCCGGCAACGTACTGTGGCTTTAGCTCTGAATACAAGTCAGTGTTATCAGTCGACTTTGGACACGATACCGAAGCACTGGTACCGTGGCTGAGCGCCATGGAGGACGGTATCGCTGCACCACACGGAGACAAGACCGATACATTCAAATCTTAACTCGAAGAGCTCCAACAATAACCGCCATGATGTTAGCCGTGAGGCTTCATCACTCTTCAGGGAACTTAATTAGCGACCAAACAGTCAGAAACCGCTTGCATGAAGTGAACCTTCATTCCCGAAGACCGCTACGGGTACCACCTATAGCAATGCACAATCGTAGGATTCGATATCAATGGGCTCTTGAACACAGAAATTGGGCAGAAGAACAATGGCGTTTCGTGTGCTTTTCTGATGAGTCTCGTTTTGGTATGAGACCGGATACAAGACGTATACGACACTGGAGAACCCCTGGACGCCAACAGCGATTAAAATCCTGCCAGGAAGTCCATCCTTATAGTGGTGGAACCATCATGGTATGGGCGGGTATTTGGATCGGCGGAAGAACTGAGTTGATTTGGATCAGAGGCAACCTCAACGCTCAAATTTATGCTGAGACGATTGTATCAGACGTCATCGTTCCTCTACAAGTGCAAATCGGTCCCTTATTTCAGTTAATGCATGATAATGCACGACCGCACACCGCAAGAGTTGTAAGACAGACTCTCGCCGCAGCTAACATCAATGTCCTGCCCTGGCCTGCTCAGTCGCCAGACTTGAACCCGATTGAGCATGCATGGGATATGCTACAGAGAAGAGCTCTGCCGAATATGGAGGGTATCCAGTCGCAAGAAGACCTTTTTTTGTTGTTGCAACGAACATGGGCGGCCATTCCACAGCGTGATTTGGATGAACTCATTTTGAGTATGCCAAACCGATGTTCTTGTGTTGTTAGTGTTCGCGGTAGAAATACGGATTATTAATTGTTTAAGTTACCCAATAAAATTTTAGAGAAAACTGTTATTTCAGTCTTTTTTTCGAACTTTTGTGTTAGTGGTTCAAATGTCAAAAATCCCTTTATTAGGAAAATGGCAAATTTCTTTATTAATGCAAAGGTGACTTGGTTTATCGTTACTGTGACAAACGAAAACACTTTATTTGATGAATCCTTAAAGAAAATTTTAATTAATATCAATCAGGAGAAAAGTTATTGCAAAAATATATGTTGATCCCTAGACACTTTTGATGTGTGTATATTTATATAGAAATACTTATTAAACATCCATGACTGAAGTACAAATGCTCGTATTCATCACACAAACATCTGCCCCCACCGGGATTCGTACCGACCTCTCGAGTCGGCGACACCATGAAACCCGGCGTACAAACCACTCGGCCACGGAGATCGTTAAAAAAAAGGTGATGGAATATACTGATGAGGTTTCTAAAATACTTGGTGGAAACTTCCATCAGCTTCCGATGGTTTTATCTGGAGACTTCAATATCAATTTTGCAGATGAAAAATCAGAACCACTAATAACATTTCTTTTAGAAAATTTTAAATTACATATAAATAACAATCCAAAAAAAATTTCTGCCTATTCCATCCATAGGGAAGGCCTGTGCCCCAGCAGTGGGGACATTAATAGGCTGATGATGATGAACAATCCAAAAGAATCGACAACAAAATACGGTACTACTATTATGCTGTTTTTTCGAGGTATTTGCATAAAATAGAATCACAAACATATGTATCATATTTTAGTTACCACAAGCCAATAGTTTCAGCAATAGAATTTGATGACGAGACTGATTAATAAGAATTACTTTTAATAGTAATATTAATAATAATAATAAACTTTTTTTGTAATTATTTTTATTTCTATTTTTCTATTTCTATGTAATTTTATGTTGTCAAACAAAAATAAAGAGACATATTTTGTTATTTTAGTTGATAATTTGAATTACTTTTTTTTTATTTTAAGTAATTTATTATTTCCTAAAATACTGAATTTCCTAAATACTTTCTTGTACTTAAATAAAAACTAATCAGCAAAATTTAAGAGAAAAATCAAGAAAACCTACATAAAATTGAGCACGATTTTTTTTGCAATTTGTGTCGATTCTACATTAGCCGAAGGAACTTCGTTCCTACCTGGTGTCCCACGACACCACATCATTTTTTTCAGTTTCTTCTTCATCTAAAGTACTTGAGTGACTGCTATGTGTGCTTCTTGGACGACGAAAAGTAATATTTTCAAAAAAGTTCATTGTAACGCCATCTATGTCATGCCGAGAGTACTAACCCCGCAAGCAGCTGTTACTTGAATGTCACTGTCCAAGGAGGCCAACAAATTATTGTAGACCTTTTTACCGAACGGCATAAGAGCTATTATGTTTTGAACACATTTTATGTTTTGAATAAAATTAACGATTATAATCACTGAAAGTTCTATTTTACACTGTTTTGTTAAAACTAAGCACGTAATTATGTTGATAATTGTTAACGTATTAAAGTTATAAATTAATAGTTTATTTTCGTGTATGTAATTTTCTTGATTTCCATTAAATTTACACTCGTCAAAGGGCGGACCAAGGGGGGGGGGGGTCATGGGGGTCATGACCCCCCCTGGGCTGGGTACAGATGGACCAAACACATGGGGGTTTTATTTAAGTACTTTCAATATTTAATATACCACGACTATATGACCCCCCCCCCCCTGGCGCCAAAGCTGGCTATTTGACCCCCCCCTGGCGCCAAAGCTGGCTATATGCCCCCCCCTTGGCGCCAAAGCTGGCTATATGACCCCCCCCCCCCTGGCGCCAAAGCTGGCTATATGACCCCCCCCCCCCTGGCGCCAAAGCTGGATCCGCCCTTGCACTCGTCATTAAAAGTATATTTCTTCACAATCACTTAACGATTATACCAGATAACACTTCCATGGGTGCATTGTCGTCCCAATATAGCGCTGATTACACTTTTGTAGCGAAGTTAAAGCAGCACATTTAAATTTTTAATTAACACAATAATATAGAACTGATTATTTCGTGACAGTGGCGCCACCTCTCCACATACACTAAAACACCTTTGACGACCTCTGTGGCTGAGTCGTTTGTGCGCCAGGTTTCATGGTGTCGCCGAGGTCCCGGTGTTCGAATCCCGGTGGACGCAGATGTTTGTGTGATGAATACGAGCATTTGTACTCCAGTCATGGATGTTTAATATGTATTTCTATATAAGTATACTTATATATGTACAGTATATGTATTCTATCCGTTACCCTAGCATCCCATAACACAAGCCTCGCAGGGCTTACTTTGGGGCTAGGCTAATTGGTGTGAGTGTTGGAAATATTTATTATTATTATTATAAACATCTCAAGTAACATGCATTTGGCAAAATTGTACCAACGCAATCTTAAGAAAACTGCTAAATCTGCCAAAAGTAACTCTTTAGCTGTGAAAACCAATAAAGTTCATAATATATTATAGGGTCTCTTTCAAAAGAGACGTGCCCAAAAATATCCTTTTCAAATACGACAAATCTCCGAAGTACTTCTTGAATTAAAAGCAATTATAAATAATAACAATCATATCAATTATCAAACATTATATCAATTTTTAATCAATAATCTTATTATTAAGTATTTTTTCTTTGTTCAAATGTTTCTTCTTATGAAATGTTAATAAATAAATCCTTTTATCAGTGTGATTATATTTAAACTAATTATTTAAATTTAGTATCCAATAACTAAATAACGTTTGAAAAATAAAAATTAACGTTTTAACAAAACTTAAAAATATTGATGTCAAATTATATTAAACTATTATTATTGATAAGAAAAAAAATTATATAAATATTTATACTTATATAAATTATCAAATTGTTATTTCAATTTTCATTATCAATGTACCTATCAATAAGTACTTTTTCTTTGTTAAAATAAGTTATGAACAATTTCTTTTGCAGAACCGCTTATAGTCACACCATGGCAGACCAACCTGACGAAGCTATGGATCTTGCGGATCAGCCATTACTTTCAAGGAGTAAACTTCTCACGGAAGCCCAAGAAGCTGCCGCATCCACATCTGAAACTCCATCCACCGAGCCACCAGCAATCGCTGCTCCCAAATCAAAGTCACAGAAACAACGTGAGTACAGACAGCGCATAGCAGCATCCAGAACTTCTGCACAAGCGACAGCTGCGAGGAAATCGGATGCCGAAAGACAGCGCAACCGCAGACTACGCAAAGCTGCTAACTTGGTTCTTGTCAGTGGTTCATTAGAATCGACTATTGCATCCACTTCTAGTTCAAGGGCTAGATCAAACGACGTCCAATCTGGTACTCAACGACGGCTCACACACCAGCAAGGTCGAACTTCTTTACCAGAACCAGCGCGAATCATTGTTCAACCAGGGACTTCTTCTGATCAAATTGAGGTAGGAAAGGCGCAATCTACTTGGAACACCAAATGGGCATTGTCCATCATGAGATTTAAATCAACTTTTCTAGACAACGATTTTGGCTACGCTTGTTCGGTTTGCGACAGACTGTGGTTCAAGAACGACCTTAAACCCATCACTGCTGCACAGCTTGACGTGATCTCGGAATGGTTCATCAAAGAAAATCGTCAACTGTGCAGAGAAGAATATGAAATGGTCTGCAACAATTGTAAACGTACACTGAACAATAAATCGATGCCGCACCTAGCAAAAGTTAATGGATTCTCATATCCAGACCGACCACCGGGTCTACCACCGTTGGATCCCATCAGTGAGCGATTGATATCGCCATGTCTGCCATTTATGCAAGTGCGTCGTCTGCGCCATGATTCCTCTTATGGAATCATGGTGCAAGTGATCAACGTACCAGTAGACGTACAACAAATGGTAAAATGTTTGCCGCGACAATTAAATGAGGACGACGTCATTAATGTTAACATGGAGCGGAACCTTACCCACAAATCGGTCTACATCAGCGAATACGTGTCCAAAAGTACAATCAGTGCGTGGCTAACTGTACTGCAGGAGTCTCCATTATATCGTTTTTACGAAATCAACGTGGATTTGTCGAGATTGCATCCTTCTATGCCGTTTCTCGATGACATACGGGATGATCCGTCCAACCGTATAGAAAATATCTCCGCTGAAGACACACCTGAATCTGAGATTCTCGCTTCAAGACAACATACCATGATGTGGAATGAAGAATTTCAGGCTACACCTCTTAACAACATTGATGACCGTCATGCAGAAGAGTTGTCGTTTCCATCGATATACTTCGGAGAGCCACGTCGATTCAACAGGAGAGTTCTAGTAACACCTTATATGGTAGCGGCCAGTGAAATACGACGTAGCGACAGACGCGGAGCCACGCCTCAAAAAATCTTGTACGTTGCAATGAAAATATTGCGACTGCGCCTGGTGGATGAAATTAACAGCACGTTTCGCAATGTTTCGGTGACGGAGAATGTTACGCAACGTATGTTTAAGAGAACAGAATTTCTAAAAGAACATGCCATACAAAACCTCGCATTCATGAAGACAGTGCCTAACTCCGTCCAATACTGGGCCTCTCGCAAACGAGACCTCTTTGCAGTGATTCGTCAACTTGGCAAACCAACCGTTTTCCTCACTATAAGTGCCGACGAAATACGCTGGATAAAACTGCTCACTATACTTCTCAAACTGAGCAAAAAATATCCTGGAAAAACAGCAAAAGATCTCAACACTTCTGAGCTCTGTACTTTGGTGAGCGACGATCCTGCTACCTGCTGCATATACTTCTACAAGCTCGTTGGTTCCTTGATGAAAATGCTAAAATCCAAACAGTCTCATAATCCGTTTGGCAAGTATTTCGTTAAAGATTACTTCCTACGTATTGAGTTCCAGCATCGAGGAAGTCCACGCGCACATATGTTGCTGTGGTTGAACGACGACCCGGGTGAGATCGTGTCGGAAAATATGCCAAGAACCATCGATCTCGTGGAAAAATTAAGCTCGGTTGCTCGAGTTGATGTGCCAAACAATTCTATCTACGCCAAACAGATACACAAACATACTTTCACTTGCACAAAGCGAGGCGAGACTTCTTGCAGATTCGGGACCCCGTACTGGCCTATGCCCACTACCCGTGTACTGGTTCCGATGTCTCAATCTGATGGAAGCCGCCAAACGCTACAACAGAAGGCCAAGGAGCTGCGTGCCTCTCTCGATGAACGTAGATACGCATGCATGGATGAGTTTCTTAATGCTAATGGTTTGACTTACGATTCATACCTGGACATTGTGCGTTCAACGTTGCGCAGACCAACTCTAGTCTTCAGACGAAACTTCGACGAACTTATGACAAACACGTTCAATCCGTACCTTGCCGGCGAAGTCAACTCTCACATCGAAATTCAATTCATCTTAGATGAGTACAGCTGCGCAGAGTATGTCGCACAGTTTGTAAATAGATCAGCCCGTGGAATGGGTGACCTACGTCGTGAGCTAACCACAATGATGCAAGAGCATCCCGATCGGGACTACACCGGTCAATTGGAAGCGTTAAGTATCAAACTGCTTAACGCAGTTGAGATGACAGCGCAAGAAGCAGCATGGTATCTACTACGAAAACCAATGAGTGAGGCGAGTCGTCAAATTGTGTACATCCCAACTGTGTGGCCGACAGAGAGACAATGCTGTCGCAAGCGTCGTCAACAAATGGACCGCGAAGGCATCGACGGAGACAGCACTGATGTTTGGACCAAAAACATAATACAGCGATATGAAGAACGACCTGCATCTTTAGAACAAGTTTATTTGGCTGAATTTGCTTCGTGGTATGATAACGCTAAAGACGACGTGCCCGTAGATGACGATGAAGATTCTGATGCTGTACCTCAAACGAAGACGTCGAGAGCATCAAAAGAATACCGCAGACGACAGCTCGGACGAGTCATACGATACAGACGCTACGATATCGATGAAACTGACAATTATAAACGAGAGATGGTTCTACTTTACGTACAGTTTCGCAATGAAATGACAGAGATTGTTGATCAAAATAAATTTTTGCAATTATTTGACGATAACAAAGACACGATCATGGAACGCCGAAGTCTATTCGAGACAAATTTTAACATTGAAAACGTCGCGGAGGAACTTGAAGCGAAGATGATTTTGCAAAAAGATGGTGCCGTGAACATCGATGATCGATGAACCAAATCGTCCTCCGACAGGGATACTCGATTGTGAAGAAACGCAACAATGTGATGACAAAACAGCAGTATTGCGAGTTTCTAAGAACCACCAACCTAGAACAACGGGAGATCGTTCTTAAGGTCATACATGGATTACGTAGTTGTGGAAAAAGACATTTGAAGCGCTAAAAATATTCTCCTCGGGTTCCGCGGGCTGTGGAAAAACTGATACCAAAAAATGTCTTATGGAGATGTACAACCGCTACACTCAGGAACACAACTCGATGAACTACGTGTACATTGCCTGTGCCAGCACAGGTAGAGCCGCTGTACCTCTTGGTGGCACTCCTATGCATTAAAAGTCTCACAAATTCTCGCGTGACAAAACTCTTATCTACAGAGAATTTGCAAGCCTACAGAGACATGTTCGTTGGCGTTAAAGCTGTTTTCGTGGAAGAGATCAGTTGAAAATGTTATATGTGCTTGAAGTGATCCAAGTATTTTCTAGTATTTATCACGTTTACAAAAAAAAGTGCTTCTGCTTCATTATACTTCGATAAAACAAATAGCATTTTTTATTTTATTTAAACAAATTCTGACGTAGACAAAAAAAGGCAATAATGTTTTCTGTCACATTTGTTTAGATTTATCACTAATGTGCAATAAATTAGAGTATATATATATATTAAATTCAAGATTGATCACTTTTTCTACAGCGTGACTTTAAGGTATGTGCCATATGCAGCTATTATACATTAATAAAAAAAATAATTAATAGATCTGTCATCAAATGAATGGATCAGTTAACTAAATTAATAAAAAATGCCTATTGTCAAATTAGATTCGCTATAGTATGACATAGTTGTTCGCGCCCGTATAAACCCCACATATATATACATATAAAAGAGAAGGAATATTACAAATCATAGCAAAGAATCGCACTTATACAACGGGTGGCGCCATCTATTGGATCGTACCACTGTAGCGCGAATAGCACAAACGTCATTGTGTTCGGCTGTTTTACCGGCTTTAATGTCTTGACTTGCGAAATTCATTCTCTCAAGAAAACTGTTACTTGTAAATTGTATCCATTATTATATAAAAAGAAATTGCGAAAATTACCCGAGTTTTTATTGAAGAAGACCACATCTATGCCCAAGCAATAGTTGTCATTCATAATAAATAAAACAATTGAACCAGTTATAACTGATTTTTATTCACAACTTTTCAAAGTGTTTCCTTCCGTTGACAGAATCTGCAACGTCTTAAAAATCTGCTTTAGTCACCTAAAACTACTAGTACTTTGTGTAGTTTTTTCCAGCTAAACAATATATTTACTATAGTTTATAGCTTAGATTAAAACAAAAAGCGAAGATACGGTACGCTCATACTAGCATCAAATAAAATATGATCCGACTCAACTACACAAGCAACTTTCACACACGCACACGTCTGTAAATAACATTCAATCGAGCGAGCGAGACAGAACTGTACGCTTCAACGCAGCGCGAGCGAAACGGCGAATCAGCTTCCGAGTGCGAACGGCTGAGCTGTATTGTTGTCCTTTTCTTGATAACAAAATGGCGATTACGTAAATAACATTCACGACAAACCGTGATTTTTGAGAAAAAAAATGATTTTATAGTTTATGAATGAGAAGTGTTGCCGAGGCATTTGTTATTTGATTTGGAACTATGTATTTGTGTTCTATAAAAAAGCATCGAAGGCATTGTTTTATCTTTATAACACAGAATATACGCAATATTGTTATATTGAGTGTACATGCAGCGTGTATGAATGTCCGATTGTGACTACAGCGAATTGTGATCGTGCACCACGATTTAAGCGGATCACTTTTAAGCTGCGAGTATCGTATCTTCCCTTTTTGTGTTAATCTAAGGTTTATAGCCAAACTATGATTTTAGACATAAATTGGTATCAAATAATAGTATGTTATAATTAAAGATATTTACCTTATTAAACGCATCATGGTTAGCAATAGATAAAAGGTGTCGATTCTGGCGTGATTCTCTAAACTTAAAACTAAAGTTAACATCAGTCTCTCCTTTTTAGTCTGTATAGAGAATGAAAAGAATGCACTGTTGTCAAATTTAAGTTTAGCTTTAGAGAATTTTATGCCAGAATCGACATCATTGTCTCGTTTTGGTCTATTTCTGTTAAAGTACCAGATGAACTGGATTGGGATGACGGCTGAAACATGAATGTCAAGTAGGGATGTCGAAAGTTGAAAAAAATATCGATATTTTTTTTTAAATATCAATATCGGCTTCGATAAATCGCGAAAAAAACATCGATATATCGGACCAATTTTCCCAAAAATATATTTAGGTCAGCCTAGCACAGTAATAATAGTTCAATACAAATTATAATTAAAGAAAGAATTATCAAAGTACCAAATTGCCGCTATACTACACGACAGTACAGTATCTCACGAAATATGACACGCGGAATAATAATGGAACGAAAATTATCTCCCTAAAAATAGACCCTATTTTCGAATGATGAAAATGATTGCAGGGCCCCTCAGGTGTCATCTTTCGTAAACAAGACAGACAGTGGTGTCGATTCTGGCGTGATTCTCTATACTTAAAACTAAATTTAACATCAATCTCTCCTTTTCATTCCGTATAGAGAATGACAAGGATACACTGTTGTCAAATTTAAGTTTAGGTTTAGAGAATCGTGTCGGAATTGACACCAGTCACACACTTCCACAGAAAATAATAGACAATACATAAAAATAATAGACAATAATAAATACAGCACAGATCATAGATATGTTGAATATCATTAATCTGAGATCCAGTAACGATTTTTCCAGAAACGAATTTAGTTAGATCGTGCTATGCCGCTAATAATTAAAAAAATATCGTTTTTGATACGAATTTCGATATTGGTTATTTTGTATCGATGTATCGATATATCGAACAAAAAATATCGATATATCGAACAAAAAATATCGATATATTTTCAACAAGCCTAATGTTAAGTATAATATTGAACATGATAGCAGCTAGAATCTATGATATTAAATGTTATTTCGGGAAGATATTTTCGCTTTGGTTAATAATAAAGTCAGATTCACTCGATATTTTCAAAAATTGGTACTTAAATAAATTCAAAAAATTACTATAAATATAAAAAGTCTAGTAATTGCTTTAAATAAAAATTATAATATAATAGGCACAATATGATAGCTCGATGGCGCAAGTGGTTAGCGCGTTCCGCAGCGATCGTTGAATTTAAGCAACTTTCGCAGTGATCGGTCATTGGATGGGTGACCATAATTTACTATCTCGAGCTCCTCCGTGTTTCGGAAGGCACGTTAAGCCGTTGGTCCCGGCTGCATCTGCAGTCGTTAGCACCCACCAACCCGCACTGGGCCCGCGTGGTGGGTCATGGCCCAATCTCCCTATTCCATCCATAGGAAGCCTGTGCCCCAGCAGTGGGGACATTAATAGGCTGATGATGATGATGAGGCACAATATATCTGAGCATTTTAAATTATATTATACATATTACCCTACATTTTATATACACTGTCTTGAAATGAAAACATCGATGTGAAAAATGCCTTGAAAGGCGACTCTATCGGCAAAGGAACTGTTTTACACATTAATTTAAGGCACTGATTTAAAGAGGCAGTTGTAAATAGCAGTTTTGGTAAGTATAAAATTATAAATGGCATGTTTAATAACTAGCTCAGCAGTGAAAGCTATGCAGTAAAGTAAACAAAAATGATTAATAATAAATAATGAAATGGAATAGTGAATATATAATTGAGCAGGAAAATAATTAAATGAGAGGATAAATTAACGAATGAGCGGTTAAGTGTGGTCAGCAATAAATCGGAATTTGTCGGTAAGAAATCTCATTCTAAGCAATTCTATGAACTATGAGGTGGTAAAAAAAACAGTACCTACTTAAATAGCAATAAAAAAAATAATTACTTTTGCTTTGACTGAAGGAATTAAATAAAACAAATTGTACTTATAATAGTAATAGGAATTTTTATTCGTAATTCGAAACATACTTAAGTAATTAAATGACATAGAATTTGCTTAGTAGCAGCTAAAATAAACTTATTGTATAATAAGAGCAGGCCACCCGTGCTAATAACGAAAATTTACCTCTCTTTTCAATGAATTTGAGTTCGGGTGTCACCGCTCGCTATGATCTACCGAACTATTTATCGAACCGCTTATTCCATCATTTTTACCGCTCATTTAGTTACTGGACTGCTCAATTATTTTTAGAATTGACATTGGTGCCGATTCTGCCGTGATTCACTAAACTCTAAACATCAGTCTTCCCTTTTCATTCTGTGTAGAGAATGACAAGGATGCACTGTTGTCAAATTTAAGTTAAGGTTAAGAGAACCATGTCAGAATCGATACCAATGTATTATAAAATAACTCACGTGTCCATGTTTGTTTTACTGTCTCAATAATTAATCAACCGCCATTAAATTAAATATATGCTTTTCAACCGATCATATTAACATCTCGAATATATAAATAACAGCTCAAAGAATGTGTTCCCTTTATTTAAATACACTATCAAAACCATAGACATAGGTAGTATTATATGGACGGAGCCATATGATGGAACTGTTAACTATGCATCTTTGTCTAACTTATAGAGTGTACATATGAGTGAAAGAGCAGTTGCTGCAGTTGACATAAGTTTGACAATGTTGAGTATCGGTGTAAATTATGTCCTACTCCTCCTACCTGTCCTGTCTCAGTAAAGGTGTGATCCGGCGGCGTGTATAAAAAACTTATTTTTAGTGTACATACCAATACAATTTTATTTGAAACAAGTTTAGGTTTACTTAGGTATTTGTCTATGGTCAGGGCTGCCATTTTAGCGCAGATAGCGGGATTTTCTTCGAAATAAGTATGAAATTGTATTTAACAAATAAATCTAGACTTCTACACTTGTGATTCTTTCTGCTTTCTTTGATTGTTCGATAGTCTAATGTAATATGCTTTTGATTGTTTGGCATATACATCAGTTTAGTTATTTTTCTGTAGTACAAACTTTCTATTTTGTATCAAATTATTATATTTTGTGTCTAACCTAATTTTAATGATAACAATCAATAGTTGTAAAGGATCCCATTATTCTCCATACATCTCTGCCCAATTTTGCACCTCAAGTATTATCTTGCCAATATGTGTAAAATAATCTTATTGATTAAAAGTGTATATGGAGTTTAATGTAAGTGTTGTATGTGCTTGTGTACTTGTGATTGAGCAATAAACATACCATAATAAACCAGGGGTATTACGCATATTCACATTCATATAATTCAGACAGCTTTACAGATGCGGATCTAAATCAACAAGTAAAGGCACGTGCTTAAATCCTAATCATTAAATAAGACAGAAAACTGTTTTGGCTTTATGCTTAAAAATTAATTAGATTAAATAAATATAAACATAAAATTCATTTACATTTATTTACGAAATTCGTATGTCTTTATAATATCCTGAAATCAGAATACGTGGATGTGAATCTCAAATAATCCGTAACCGTATCACAAACATACCAACTTTCACATTTATAATATTAGTGGGATGTGTACTAGGTTTCATAGCTCCCAGTATCTATTGCTGTGTAATGTATGTGTGGCAAAATAAAAGCATTTCGTCGTTGTGAAACCAATATACTGCTCTGTGCACTTTTCGGAGATTCCGACATTTGCATCATTATGATTAGTTTATTCAATCATTATAACCTATTTTTACGAATACAAAGAATGTGCGAATTTTCGTCATTATAATGGTAAATCGATTCTGCTATGATTATCTAAGCCTAACATTTAATTTGATTACAGTTTTATCATTGTCAGTCTCGATACAGAATGAAAAGGAGAGGCTGATGTTTTTAGTTTTAAGTATTTAGAGTCATGCTAGAATCGACACCACTAGTTACATAAAAAATATGCTATGTTTATCCGCGAGAATGTTGTACTATTAACTGCTATGGATTTTTTGTGTTTTTATTTTTTTAAGCGTATAACGGCTATAGGAGCTCGATGGCGCGGGTGGTTAGCGCTTTCGGCTACGATCGTTGAAGTTAACCAACTTTCACAGTGGTCTGTCATTGGATAATGGGTGACCTTCTATCTCGAGTGCCTCCGTGCTTCGGAAGGCACGTTAAGCCGTTGGTCCCCGCTGCATCTACAGTCGTTAGCACCCACCAATACGCACTGGGCCCGCGTGGTGGGTCATGGCCCAATATCCCTATTCCATCCATAGGGAAGGCTTGTGCCCCAGCTGTGGGGACATAAATAGGCTGATGATGATGAACTGCTTGATGTTAAATCGTAAAATGCTATGTTAAAGTTATTTACCATCACTAGCAGAAATTGATTTGAAAACGATGATTTAAAATTTTCATTTAATATTGCATTTTATTCAAAGTTTTAAGGCGTTTTTGTAGATTTTGGAGTGACAACACTGTGCCTTTGTTGTCTATGGTAGATTTTGACACACCTTCACCTGTGCTCTGTGGTCCATTCATTTGTATTTTGCCTGTAGTTTTATCGTATTTGAGTGAATATTTTCATGTAATTTTTAACATCCAATAATCATTTGTGTCTTAAACAGAGTGTCAAGTGTTTAGTGATCGTTTTTATTCATTTTCTCATTCGGTATACGTCCCACAAGCAGGTAAACGGAGTTTTCATATTGTTTTGAACTATAACACAACTAAATTTAAAAGTTGCATTCTCTGGATAAATTGTCAATTGAAGAATGTAAATTTCGTGTGGTAGGTTTATCGTTAGCCTTTCACCGAACATTTTGTTTATTTATTCATGAATTTCAGCTTACAAACGAGCTTTAAATATCGTAAATTAATAAGTATTAGGTCTCTTTAACCTACATATTACTTAGTTTGGCACTATCAGAGAAATCGTGATAATGGATGAGTCATAACAGAATGATACACATCACACGACTTCAAAATTGGGTCCTTCTTGTACCGCTAAGGCCTATGTGTTTCCTGATGCTAGCTGATGGTGGTGATGATATCATTGGTTGGCTTTTATTAAGAAGATACCCACAGTGCTATTTTTTTGGATACATAGATGTTTTAATCACAATATAAAGTTTATGTTTCCCTCAATGAATGAAATTGATTTGAACAAACTCATTCTGTAATAAATTATGTTTTACAATTGAAAGAATAAAAATATGAATGTCAACAACTTCAGTGACTCTTTTACTTGTTTTGAGATGTGAATAATTATAATAATTATGTAAATTACTAAATATCTGTTCTAGCTACAAAGTAACTCTTTTGATTTGGTTAGTAGCCTTACAGTGCCTATTTTTTAAAATTTATTAAGAAGCCTATTTGCCACTGTTTTCTTGGAATTTTAATAAAAAATGTCAAAGTCCTGTGTGCCTTCTGGCATAGGCCTCGCAACTATTTCCAGTGTGTTCGGAAGGGAACAAGTAATTATTCGTTACTAGCTGTGCCCTGCGGTGCTACCTATGGTTTATTAGGGATACTTTCCAACAGTAAAACGTAGCCTATATGTTAATGTCATTTCCTTGATATGCATTAGAATGGAATAGAATATATTTTATTAACCCTCATATTACAGATATTACACATTTACAGATACAAATTAAAAAAAAACTCAGGGCTAACCAGGACCCTGCCTCAGCATTAGCTGACGCGACATTGTGCGCACCAGCGCTGTTATTCTGGCAGGGCCTGTTTAGTGACACAAAAAAGACATGTAAAAGAAAATTATTTATCAGCTAACTCCATACCAAATGTTATTAAAATCGCTCCAAATGTTTAGAGGTGAAGAAGAAACAAACATACACACAAATAAACTTTCGCCATTATAAAATTAGTGTGACTTTTATAACACCTAAATATTTTTTATTTTAAGCATTTTTTTGCTGGATTTGTAAATCTAAAGATTTTTTTTCTTACCAGAATAAGTTCAACTCCATCAAGGTTTCAGGTAGGACTTATTTAATTGTTTATATTCTCCTTCAGCGATGGCGGACTACGGTCAGACGGGCACGCTGACCCTCAAGTGGGACCCAAAGAACCTGGAGATCCGCACCACATCTGTGGAGCGGACCCTGGAGCCCCTGGTGCTGCAGGTCACCACCCTCGTCAACAGCAAGGACAAGGCTGCGAAGAAGAAGAGACGTAAGTTTATTAACCCTTCAAATGTTTAAGCAATATGATACTCAAAATCCTGTCTGTGTTAGCCCTCCATTTTGTTCTTCAGAGCAGGGATTTCCTCTTATTACTCGAGTTCTACTGTACATCCAGGCTTTATTTATGTCTTAGATCAATCTTGAATAGTTTCCTCTACAAGCTTTGCTATTATTAGATGTATAAATTAAAAACCATTCTGCATGGTGACGGAGAAAGAATACTACTCACCGCTTCTCCTTGTCGTAACAAGCGAGTGAGGGATATCGGAGCTTCCATCCGTTATATTACCACTGTGCGCATGGTGTACAATGCGTGAAGTGCTTCACGCGCTTTTGGTGGGGTGAGCCAGCGTACAACCAGAGTTAGAGTGGGGATTGCCAAGACGGATTCGGTCCAGCGGAGACATCCGTCGAACCGATATCGGGAGGGTCGATGCAGTGACCCACCGTCCGTGGCACCTCGGGCCCCTGTCGAGCGTTCCTAACCAGTTCGCGAGGCTGCCCCATCATGTCACGCATAATCTCGGGGTGGGGGGTCGTGCCGATTGGTGACGTGGAGTCGGCGCGTAATGTGTGCATAGTTTAAGATTTATATTATGTAACATAACATAAATCTTAATCGGTTCAGCGGTTAAGAGGTAACAGACAGACAAACGAAGTTTCGTATTTATAATATAAGTATGTATTTATAAACACTTGTTTTTTGTCTGTCCTTTCCAGCGGGCAAGTCGAAGCGGGCCTCAGCCCTTGTGGCAACGGTGGAGAGAGCCACGGAGATCTTCATAGAACGCGGGCAGACTATCGCTTATGAGAACCCTGATATTACGCAGGAGATGCTGGCTGCAGTCGAGGAGGTTAGGAAGGCAGGTCTGTGTATACTGATTTATTTATCACTTGATCACCATTTTAAGGACGCATGAGGAGTGGTTAGCGCGTTCGGCTGCGGTCGTTGAAGTTAAGCAAATTTCGCAGTGGTGGATGGGTGAGCAAAAATCTTCTATCTCGAATTCCTCCTTAAGCCATTGGTCCAGGCTGCATCTGCAGTCGTTAGCATCCGCAAATCCGCACCGAGTCCGCGTGGTGGGTCATGGCCCAATCTCCCTGTTCCATCCGTAGGGAAGGCCTGTGCCCCAGCAGTGGGGACATTAATAGGCTGATGATGATGATGATCACCATTTTAGATGTTATCTATTATACCTAATATTGAATGATTAATACCTAATAGAATACTGTTTGTATTTATACTGTATGACACAGCAATCAAAATGTGACTGAACGTTGCAGTGGTAGTGACTAGAGATGGGCCGACTATAGTATTTGTCGACTAACCGACTAATCGGTTTTCGAATTGCCGACTAGTCGGCCGACTATACTGCAATGCCGATCATTCTAATACCTATCTTAGGAAGGTGTTCGGAATATTTCGTCATTACTCGGCTTGCTCACGCACGACACGAGTCTCCCAAAACGAGCCGAAATATTCATGTTCCAACATCACAATTTTTCCTCTAATGAAAAAAAAAATACTTATAGACTTCTTTAAGACTCGCTAGCAGTTAAGATTTCACTCAATTAATACGTACTTACTTCCCACTGCTATTTTGTTATGTGCGATATTCATTGTGTTAAGTTATCTGAATTACTGTCAGATTCTTAAGTTCGTAATTCTTGTTATGTTACCTTATTTTTTTTCAAATTTTAAGATTGTAGGTAACTTTAAATACATACTCTAGGTACTGTTTAAATATTCTAAACAATTTTATTTAATTGTTATGTGCCGATTATAATCGGTATGTTTTGCCGAATGATCGTCGACTATTAACGATGCCGAATGTCTTTCCTGACTAGTCGGCGGCTAGTCAGCCCATCTCTATAAGCGACATGATTTTTTTGTATTATTTGGTTAGGTACGTCTCCGCTCGCGAGTTCTCGGACCTTACCTTTTTCAGTGTTTAAACGTCCTGGCCGGTTTTTCCTTGGTTATATTGAAACTAAGGGGATTCAGTGGTTCTATACTTTAGTTTTAGAGGCAAATGTAGTTAGTTTAACGCTGAAATCGCGGTTATTTGGTTAGGTGCGACCATGAGCGTCTCCGCTCGCGAGTTCTCGGACCTTGCGTCAGTTTTTCAGTGTTCAAACCTCTTGGCCAGTTTTTCTTTGGTTATATAGGAAGGTCAAAGGGGAAGATCTTCCTCCGAGCTAGGTGATGGTAGCTTGGGGGCCGCGGCCCGACTGATGTTGGTCTGGCATTGTATAATGAACTGTTGGCCGCCGAATTTCACTTGTGCGATGAAGGCTTCCATACTATTTGAGTGCAGCGCCGGCAGCGCCATCTCTTGAAGAGGCGAGTAATTAATTCCTCTATGTTGGTTATATGTGGGGCATATAGATGTTGCCGCCACAGTTATATTGAAAGTAGGGATGCTTTTCTTCAGTTTTAGGGGTAAAGATAGTTAGTTTAACGCTTAAATCGTGGTTATTTGGCTAGGTGCGGCCATGAGCGTCTCTGCTCGCGAGTTCTCGGAGCTTGCGAGTTAGTTTTTTCAGTTGTTTAACCCTTGCCGAGTTTTTCTTACGTACTTTATTTACTTGACGTAACTTTGAAAAATAAAATATTCAGAATACGTAACTTTGAAAAATAAAATTCTGAGAAAGTAGATACTTAACAGTTTAATATTATTGTTGATAAAAATTAGTTTGCCTTTAATGGGTCTGGTACGTAAGTGGTTCTCTGAACTTACGACCATATTTGGCAGTGTTCTCCCCTTTTAAATAATTATAGAGCATGATAGACTGTTGTGGTTGTTCTGTGATTGGGCGAATATTTGAGTTGTGTAGTAAATTGTAAAAAAAAACTGTTTACTGTTTAGCGCATGATGAGGCCATCTTTAATTACAGTTATATTAAATCCTAATACTTAAGCATATGTGTAAGTTTGTTTGTATTAATATAGCTGTGTTGATGGCCCATAAATAAATAAGTAACACTATAATTTTGGGGGGTACCGGGTTCTCAACTTTAGTTTTGGGTGTAAATATCATTAATTTAGCATTAAAATCAGAGATATTTGGTTAGGTGCGGCGATGAGCGTCTCCGCTCGTGAGTTCCCGGACCATACGTGTCAGTTTTTCAGTTGTTAACCTTTTGCCGCGATTTTCTTACGTAACACTATAATTTTGGGGGGTTCCGGGTTCTCAACTTTAGTTTTGGGGGTAAATCTCATTAATTTAGCATTAAAATCAGGGATATTGGGTTGGGTGCGGTTATGAGCGTCTCCGCTAGCGAGTTCTCGGACCTTGCGTGTCAGTTTTTTCAGTTATTTAACCTTTTGCCGCGTTTTCTTACGTAACACTATAATTTTAGGGGGTTCCGGGTTCTCAACTTTAGTTTGGGGGGTAAATATCATTAATTTAGCATTAAAATCAGGGATATTTGGTTAGGTGCGGCGATGAGCGTCTCCGCCCGCGAGTTCTCGGATCTTGCGTGTCAGTTTTTCAGTTGTTTATTAACCTTTTGCCGAGTTTTTCTTACGTAACACTATAATTTTGGGGGGTTCCGGGTTCTGAACTTTAGTTTTGGGGGTAAATATCATTAATTTAGCATTAAAATCAGGGGTATTTGGTTAGGTGCGGCGATGAGCGTCTCCGCTCGCGAGTTCTCGGATCTTGCGTGTCAGTTTTTTCAGTTATTTAACCTTTTGCCGCGTTTTTCTTACGTAACACTATAATTTTGGGGGGTTCTGGGTTCTCAACAGTAGTTTTGGGGGTGAATATCATTAATTTAGCATTAAAATCAGGGGTATTTGGTTAGGTGCGGCCATGAGCGTCTCCGCTCGCGAGTTCACGGACCTTGCGTGTCAGTTTTTTCAGTTATTTAACCTTTTGCTGCGTTTTTCTTACGTAACACTATAATTTTGGGGGGTTCTGGGTTCTCAACAGTAGTTTTGGGGGTGAATATCATTAATTTAGCATTAAAATCAGGGGTATTTGGTTAGGTGCGGCGATGAGCGTCTCCGCCCGCGAGTTCTCGGAGCAACCTTGTGCTTCTATGGCTCGCTCCAGCATGGTGCGGGCGGCGCGGGCGCTACTATCGGCCGTCACTCGACTGTTGATACTGGCCGATCTAGCCGATGTCAGGTTATTGCTGGCCAGCACCAGGACGGTGAGTAGAAATATTTATTTATGATTTTATTTATTTTTTAAGCATTTAACTGCTAGATGTTTAAATCTAAAGAAAAGTTTACTAGAAAAAAATCCACGCGGACCAGGCAGCGGACGGGACCTGGGACCTGGGAATTGCTATTTCTTCTTTCAAATGTTTAATACTTGAAAAAGTATTCATTTGACATTGTGGGTTACCTACAATGCGAAGAGATGGCGCTGCCTTGCAGCTTAAGGCTAGGAAAATTTCGACGCGGCTAATAGGGCCGTGGTAGCATAATGGTCAGTGCATTCGCCCGGATAGCGAAGGATGCGGGTTCGTGTCCCGTCCGCTGCCTAGTCCGCGTGGATTTTTTTTTCTATTAAACTTTTCTTAATATTTATTTATTTTAATTTCCTGCATGATACACATGCTCGTGTTTTAGAGATCGTCAGAGAATTTAACAATCGAGATTCAAATGCACTCCGCGAAATTTATGGACAAGTCATTTGTAGTTCAGGCTGCTCGTTTGTGGAATGCCTTGCCGGAAACAATTAGAGGTGCTAAAACATTACCTTGTTTTAGAAAAATGTTAAAGGACAGTACCTGACACTTTAGCTAGTCATCACATCATCCAAAGTATGATTAAATTGTTATTGTGTTTATATATGGATATATTATGTTTATGTATTTGTATTTTATTTTAGTTAATGTAATATAAGTATTATTAATGGTAGTTTTACTTTAAATGACACCATCTACTTCCCACTCTCTATGTAACAGTCCAGTTAACATACGGTTGCCTGGAAGAAATTGCTTCTTAGCGATAAGGCCGCCGTTTGTACTATAATGTAATAGTCTTAATTAATTGTAATTTACAATCTCATGGTGTACAATAAAGTTATTCATTCATTCATTCATTCATTATTTTAGGAAGGTTCACAGCTATGAATCACTAATTAAATAAACCAGGGCTTGAAACCGGTTTCGAAAATACCGGTAAATAAAGGTTAATACCGGTTTTCAGTAAAGGTTTCGTTCGGAGCGCGTCCGAAATGAAAGCGGTACCTAAAACCTTAATAAACCGGTTTAATCCAGAGCGACACGTGCACGCGTCGGCATCGCTTGAAGTTTGTTCGGTTTGAACTAATCAAGTCGCAACTTGTTAATGCTCAGAGATTGATGCATTTATTGACACGTTTGCTAGCGTCTAGTGAGTCAAGTTATTCATTTATTATCAATGCCGTCAGTAAGAGCGAAATGAAATCCTTTAGAAACCGCTAAATTGATTCAAAACCTATTTAATTTCGCTTTTGAAGAAAACCGTTTTTTAAAGTTAAGGTAGAGCCAAACCTAAATGAAACGCTCCGAATGTACTTGACACTGATTTAGGTTTTGCAAATTAACCGGTAAACAAGCCCTGAAATAAACAAAATAACAAAATCTAAAAGCCAATCAAAAACCTCCACATATTAAACATGTATTATATTACGATTATTATGTAACAATCTTTTATCCTACTATGTACTACGGGACACATCTAACGGACCACCAAGTATTTTAAGTTTTTACCCCAACTTAGATTAAAACAAAAAAGGTAGATACGGTACGCTCATACTAGCATCAAATAAAATATGATCCGACTCAACTACATAGGCAACTCTCACACACGCACACTTTTGTAAATAACATTTACGACAAACCATGATGTTTGAGAATAAATAAATATAAAAAAATGGGTGCGTGTACTTATGTAGGCGCGTGAGAAGTTATCCTTCTTTGGCATCGTTTAAAATTAGTTTTTAATTGCATGCAAATAATTAATTACAATAAATTAATAATAAATGACATTTCATTTCATTTCATTTCAATGTCCCGTTCAAATCTGCCCTGTTTGCTTTGTTCAAATCTGCCCCACGGTCACTTGGAAAATAAAATATTACAAATAACGCGCCCGCGGCTAACTTCATTATGTTAAAATTTTGTGTTACAGTGATGAAAATTTCACTCTCATAATTTTTTCATAACGCGGCTAAAGAAGTATAACTTCAAAAAAATATTTCCAACACTCACACCAATTAGCCTAGCCCCAAGCTAAGCACTATAAGGCTTGTGTTATGGGATACTAGGGTAACGGATAGAATACATATACTGTACATAATATATAAGTAAATTTATATAGAAATGCATATTAAACATCCATGACTGGAGTACAAATGCTCGTATTCATCACACAAACATCTGCCCCCACCGGGATTCGAACCCGGGATCTTTCGGAGTACAAACCACTCGACCAAGGAGGTCGTCAAAAAGAATAAAATGATTTTACAGTTTTACGAATGAAAAGTGTTGCCGAGGCATTTGTTATTTGATTTTGAACTATTTGTGTTCTTTATAAAACCATCGAAGGCATTGTTTTATCTTTATAACACAGAATATACGCAATATTGTTATAATGAGTGAACAGGAGCTCGATGGCGCAAGTGGTTAGCGCGTTCGGCTGCGATTGTTGAAGTTAAGCAACTGTCGCAGTGGTTGGTCATTGGATGGGTGACCAAAAATTTACTATCTCGAGCCCCTCCGTGCTTCGGAAGGCACGTTAAGCCGTTGGTCCCGGCTGCATCTGCAGTCGTTAGCACCCACCAATCCGCACTGGGCCCGCGTGGTGGGTCATGGCCCAATCTCCCTATTCCATCCATAGGGAAGGCCTGTGCCCCAGCAGTGGGGACATTAATAGGCTGATGATGATGATGCAGCGTGTTTGAATGTCCAATTGTGACTAAAGCGAATTGTGTTCATGCACCACAATTTAAGCGGATCGCTTTTGAGCCGCGAGTGCCGTATCTTCCCTTTTTGTTTTAATTTAAGGTCCCTAACTAAAAATAAGTGTTACAGCGAAAAGTTCGAAGCTGATTTGGTAAACATCTTTTTGTGTGTGTTTTCAAAATTATTTCTCCACCATAAACATATATTTTTCCCACAGACCCCTGAAACTTATAAGACTTAATGGGTCGATGTGTCCGGGAGTATACTTGGTAACTTCTTTTAAGACCTCATATTTTAGCTGTAGTGTTGATTTTATACATATACATACGAGGACATTGGTTATTAATTTCTTCCCATTAATGTAATAAGTACAATAGATTAATGGAATCATTTTTTATTAGCAACTTATTGATTGAATAAATGATGAGTGAACGAATGCATGAATGATGAGTGGTTGAATGAATGAATGATGAGTGATTGAATGAATTAATGATGAGTGAATGATGACTGATAAGCGAATGAATGAATGGGGTTTATTTCTTGGATACGGTAAATTATGTTTATGTCTAGTTTATTATGATCTGGATGAGTGCGTCTGCTGATGAAATATTGCATTTTATTCAAAGTTTGAAAGCGTTTTTGTAGATTTTGGAGTGACATAACATTGTGCCTTTGTTGTCTATGATAGATTTTGACACACCTTCACCTGTGCTCTGTGGTCCATTCATTTGTATTTTGTCTGTAGTTTTATCGTATTTGAGTGAATATTTTCATGATTTTCTATTATTTGTTTGTGTCCTAAACAAAGTGTAGGGTAGTGTAGGGCAGTGGCCCAATCTCCCTATTCCATCCATAGGGAAGGCCTGTGCCCCAGCAGTGGGGACATTAATAGACTGATGATGATGATGATGGTTAATAGGTGGAATCGGACTTAGACAAGCTGAAATGTGCATCCTCCCAATCTGAATTGGTGGAATCGGCGCGACAATTCGGTCGTTCTGCAGCTCAACTTGCAGCCCAAGCTGCTCGCAGGCAGAAGGAGTTGAGGGAACCGGCCACCAGGGATAACCTGGCTGCTGCTAGAGCTGTGCTGAAGAAGCATTCCACCATGCTGCTAACTGCTTCTAAGGTAATTAACAAAACTCTTTATCTAATATATAAAATTCTCGTGTCGCGGTGTTCGTGGTTAAACTCCACCGAAACGGCTTACCCGATTCTCATGAAATTTTGTGTGCATATTGGGTAGGTCTGAGAATCGGACAACATCTATTTTTCATCCCCCTAAATGTTAAGGGTAATCCACCCCTAATTTTTTTTTATTTTAGATATTTTTTTTATGATACATCATACAAAAATACATACAACCCTAAATTTTCACCCTTCTACCACCAACTCCTATTTTTTAATGGCGGTACGAAGTTCGCTGGGACAGCTAGTATTTATATATTGTTTTAAATTTTCATGGTCACTAACATTATAGATATTAACGGGATTGTTACCATGTACCTTGTTTTTATGAGTCTCCGATATTTCGGCACTGTTGCAAGCGCCATGATCACGGAGGAACTGAAGTGATTGCGGGTAGATGTTATTGGCAGACATATCGGTCTACCCTCTGACGTCGTCTTTTACTGCGCTCGATACCCGTACCACTGGTCACATTCTCACTATTCACTCGCACTTGTTCCCGACACACAATACTCACAGTATCAGATCGCGGAACGACACTTTTTTGATTTTTGCGGTTTTTACATATACGAATAACTGGATTTGTATCTTTATATTTATGTTAGTATTTTTTTAAGCATTCTACTGCTATATGTTTAAATCAAAAGAAATGTTTTACTAGAAAAAAATGCACGCGGTCCAGGCGGCGGACGGGACTCTAACCCGCACTATAAAAACATAGCAACATAACTACAATAGGGGTGATGACGGTGTACAGTAAACGAAATTCTATTTAGTCCGTCAGTTAGATGATCAAAAAATAATGGACACGTATTTTTTATTTGGGCAATCAACCAAAAGATGGCAAAGTTATAGTGCGTGAAAGTTTGGGAGTAAGGGCTCGTGACGTCACTTTTAACTGAAAGTTGTACTAAACGTGACGTCATGCGACTTTTCAAATCAATATATCTCTGCAATGTTTATATTATGTGAAAAAAGAAAAAATACGTGTCCAATACTTTTTGATAATGTAGTATATGGTGTGATAAATTGGGAATAAATGAAACGTCCTACTTACAGCTGACTCCGTCCGTCAATATAATCCCATAAAGCACATATATACACATTAACAAATAGAAGGCGAAGACGGTACAAGATATAAAGTCCAAGCACAGCACTAGAAGAATACAGTCAGAAAGATAGGCGATAGATAAACAGTTTATAGAAACGAAAAGCACAATTATATAAAGCGTACAGATCTAAGTATATAAGCGAGCTAAGAGAAGCGTGCGCTCCGCGTCGTAGTTCAGTCTCGACTGGTTTGGTAGACGACGCGGCGACGCGCGCGCATCTCTAGTACATAAGATGAACAAAAGAATTATGTACAAGACTATCCGCTAGTGCGTAGGGCGTGTCGATAATTGCTATCGATATATCGACAAACCAGTACACCATGATATGTAATGAGAATAAAATATTATAAATATAATTATAGTACTTATTATAAATTCTATATTAGATATTAATAATTATTGATAGATATAAGATGTAAATATATAGTGTAAGATATTTAGTGTTACGGTTTTAAATATAAGTTACTTTGTATTTTATTATTATGAATAAATTTAAATAATATTTTATGTGTACAGTGTAAATATAGTTTGAGGATGTATTCACACCTCAAAGTAGCCTACAATAATGTACCTGATAAACGAAGAAACAAAAAATTAGTCGTCATCCCTATTGCTATTTCTTCTTTCAAATGTTTAATATTTGAAAAAAGTATTCATTTGACATTGTGGGTTACCTACAATGCGAAGAGATGGCGCTGCCTTGCAGCTTAAGGCTAGGAAAATTTCAACGCGGTCCGTGAGGGCCGTGGTAGCATAATTGGTCAGTGCATTCGGCCGGATTGCGAAGGGCGCGGGTTCGAGTCCCGTCCGATGCCTGGTCCGCGTGTTTTTTTTTTTCTAGTGAAACTTCTCTTTATATTGTTTTATATTGTTTAGTATTATAGCTGTAGTAACTAAAGGTTACTCCGTGATCATGGCGCTTGCAACAGTGCCGAAATATCGGAGACTCCTAAAAAACAAGGTACATGGTAACTATCCCGTTAATAGCTATAAAACTCTTTATATTTCATATGCTTATAAGTCACAGTCACGGGTGGAGCTCGATGGCGCAAGTGGTTAGTGCGTTCGGCTGCCATCGTTGAAGTTAGCAACTTTCGCAGTGGTCGGTCATTGGATGGGTGACCAAAAATGTACTATCTCTCATTCCTCCGTGCTTCGGAGGGCACGTTAAGCCGTTGGTCCCGGCTGCATCTACAGTCGTTAGCACCCGCCAATCCGCACTGGGCCCGCGTGGTGGTTCATGACCCAATCTCCCTATTCCATTCGTAGGGAAGGCCTGTGCCCCAGCTGTGGGGACATTAATAGGCTGATGATGATAAGTCACATGTTTACTTCTGTATGTCTTGGAACTATCTCATGGCCATGTGATTTGGTATGGAATATTTTCTTTAAATGATTTTTAATTGATATTCTCAAAAAGTATTTTTGGATTTCACGTACAAGTCACATTGTTAATAAATGATTAAAAAATCATTTATTAAGTAGTCATTGGTACATAAAACAGGTACATAATTTAATCATTCTCTGTATTAAACAAGTTAACAGTTTTTAATTCATTCAGTCATGTGATGAATGGTTACATGATAGCAATAATTTAAAGTTTACGCGCCGTTTTTGGCCATATCTCAAAAGTTGGTTTTATCATTTAGCCGCATTTTAGCTTGAGGACGGTAGATTAGAACAAAACAAAGGAACGCGAAACAATCACGTCTGTACAAGTTTTTGGCGCTAAAATCCAGCCGAATACTTTTGCTTAATATTCGGCTATTCGGTCAGGGGCCTCGCCGAATATTCGGTATTCGGTATACTGCCGAATATACTATTCGTTGCAAGTCTACTAAAATTGTTAAAATTGGTATAAAGCGTAGGCTTTGACCATATAATGTGATCTTCGAAGGTGACATAATCAATCTGATTAAACCCTCTATCTTTATATATATAATTCTTCTGTGAGTGTGTATGTCACTGAACTTCTCTTAAACGACTGGACCGATTTTGATGAAATTTTTTGTGTGTGTTCAAGGGGATCTGAGAATGGTTTTGTTCACAATTTTGTCCGCTGGACAATGTTTTTTTAATTAATTTTTTTTATGGCGGTACGAAGTTCGGTGGGTCAGCTAGTAACAATATAAAGAAGAAAAATCACTTGAATAATAGGGATGATGACTAATTTTTTGTTTCTTCGTTTATCAGGTAGATTATCAAAATATAAACATTGCATAGATATATTGATTTGAAAAGTCGCATGATGTGTCACGTTTTGGTACAATTTTAAGTGAAAATTCACTCAAAAGTGACGTCACGAGCCCCTACTCCCAAATTTGACGCGCTATAACTTTGTCATTTTTTGGTTGATTGCCCAAAGAAAAAAATACGTGTCCATTGTTTTGTGATCATCTAACTGACGGCTTAATAGAATTTCGTTTTCCGTACCCCGTCATCACCCCTATTATTGTTGAAATTTTGTTTTACTCTATATTTATTTATTTATTTATAGGTGTATGTCCGTCACCCTGAACTAGCGGCGGCTAAAGCCAACCGCGACTATGTTTTGCGCGCGGTTTGTTCCGCGGTCGGGGCTATATCCGCGGCTGCACATGGGAGACCACATCATCACGGTAAATATATATTATAAAGTTGTAGAACGAGTGAATGAACGAGTGAGTGAACGAGTGAATGAACGAGTGAATGAACGAGTGAGTGAACACGTGAATGAATGAGTGAATGAACATGTGAGTGAACGAGTGAATGTACGAATGTTGATATAACTCAGAGCATGTTTAATATAGACGATATAATGCGATTCAACTAAGAATAGGACAGACTGGGTGCCATATTGTGACGTCATAGCTGTCAATTCAAACGAAATAGGTAGAGTGCGCAAAGAAAGTTTTTATTTAATAAAACTTATTTACTAAGATTAAGTGAGAAATAGCATCAGCTTTTTTTAATAAAACTTATTTACTGAGATTGAGAAAAGAAAACAACCGATTCTTAATAAATATTTATTTATTAAGACTGTGAGAAAAAACATTAATCAGAATTAAGCTCTTCGATTCCGCTCATCTCTGCATTACCACCGGAGTAGTTCTGAATAATCATGCACTATTACTAGGTCACATACGAACATGCATCCTTTATGTAAACGAAAGTTTCAAATCGAGTTTCTGAACGCAACTTAAAATGACACTTGGTTGACGATTTAGGTTAACAAACATTCATAGCCAATGCTCAATAAGTGAAAAAAAAATATCAACCAATAATAATTATCAATCTTTGTTATTGTTTATTTACAAATGTTTGATTTTTATTCTAGAATTAGCTGAGTGCTAAAAAAAGATTTCAAATTTTTTTTGCAAACCGTACTTTTCAAGCGACATTTGACAGATGGAGGTCATTGGCTTTCCTATTCTTATTTGAATCGCATTATATTTAATTTTTCTCTAGTACTTCTTATGCTGCAAGACAGCGCCATCTCTTCGCGTTATAGGTAACCCACAATGTCAAATGAATAACTTTACAGGTATTCAACATTTTGAAAGAAGAAATAGCAAATATCTTATATATAAAATTCTCGTGTCACAATGTTAGTTACCATACTCCTCCGAAACGGCCTGACCGATTTTTATGAAATTTTATATACATATTCCGTGGGTCTGAGAATCGGCTACTATCTATTTTTCATATCCTTAAGTGATAATGGTTGTCCACCTGTAACTTAGTGTTCTGAAACCTGCAATGCGCCTTCGAGCCAAAATTCAAACTATTGGGTATTGTAACGTAGTGTTCTCATATGGGTTAGGAGGAATGATATCCCAGGAAATTGATAGAACACTACGTTACACACCCGTAAAATTTTTTTGGACAATATTAATTTTTTGAAGTGAAACTTCTTTATCGGCGTTGGAAAAAAATTTACCGTCACATTTTTCGGTTACGCGTCACGTTTTTTGGTTACGCGCCATCTTTTTTTTAAAAGAGCACTATTTACCTCATCCGAACAATTGCTTCTTCTGTCAACTTTAAAAAAAAAAGTATCGACAGCAAATATTCGTGTTTCACACAAGGTAAGGTAAGGTAAGGTGTAGTTATACCCCTTTAGTGGGTGAGTTTTTGAAAAATCTTAGCGCACGCCTATATATATATTTCTGGAAAGTTGCATGTAGATCATTTTTCGAAAAAAATAAGGCCATAAAGAAGTTTCACTTCTTACGTGTGTACACTAGTACACGCACACATTTTTTTATATAATGTGGTATTCAAAAATACATACAACCCTTAATTTTTTCTTCTACCACCTGCCCCTATTTTTATGGCGGTACGAAGTTCGCTGGGTCAGCTAGTTAATATATATATATATTATTTTATTTAAGGATATAACTGCTAGGTGTTTTAAATCTAAAGAAAATGTTACTAGACAAAATTCCACGCGGACCAGGCAGCAGACGGGACTCGAACCCGCACCGTTCGATATTCGGGCGACTGAATTTAAAACATTGTGCTTGATGAAATTTTTGAAGTGAAAACTTCTTTAGCGGCGTTGTACACTTTTTTTGTATGGGTAAAAAATGTTAAACTCGCGTCAGGTTAAACACGTGGGCTGATCGCATCATGACACACAATAAAGTTGGAAAGATTGTTGACTTTCAATATATTGGACGAAACACACTGATATTTTATTTTATCGTATTATAATAATAAGTCTGTATCTAGGACGTCCAGGTGGCAGCTTTATTGTGAAGAAAATGCATTTTTTTTACAATAGATTTCGCTAGGTGCGCTTAAATGAGAAATTCTGAGAGATAAACTTTTTAGTGTAATATAAATTGTAATGTTTGTGTACGATAGCGCAATAAATAAATTTAATATTGTATTCTACCACATAAATGATGGTACTTTTATACTGATAATTAAAGAAATTCGTGCAAAATTATTCCCTAACCATTCCAAAATATCAAAAATGAACAACGTTAATATTCAAGCTTTCACTTCTGCCGGCACTCTCGGAGTGCAATCCAGCGTTTTATTTTAAAGTGTTTTTTTATTTTTATTGGATGACCTCCGTGGCCGAGTGTTTTGTACGCCGGGTTTCATGGTGACGCCGACTCGAGAGGGCCCGGGTTCGAATCCTGGTGGGAGCAATGTTTGTGTGATGAATACGAGCATTTGTACTCCAGTCATGGATGTTTAATATGTATTTCTTTATTAATATACTTATATATGTACTGTATATATATTCTATCCGTTACCCTAGCATCCCATAACACAAGCCTTACAGTGCTTGCTTTGGGGCTAGGCTAATTGGTGTGAGTGTTGGAAATATTTATTTTTTTATTTAATAGCTTAATTTTTTATTGGAAGGTACCAATCGTCCCGCTGTAGAAGGGCCCGGAGAACTGGCTCAAGCTTTGGATGACTTTGATGTGAGTAAAGTTAAATAGATAAATCAATCTACACTTGTTGAGAGAGGAGCTCGATGGCGCAAGTGGTTAGCGGGCTCGACTGCGATTGTTGAAGTTAAGCAACTTTCGCAGTGGTCGGTCATTGGATGGGTGACCGAAAATTTACTATCTCTCATTCCTCCGTGCTTCGGAAGGCACGTTAAGCCGTTGGTCCCGGCTGCATCTGCAGTCGTTAGCACCCACCGATCCGCACTGGGCCCGCGTGGGGGGTCATGGCCCAATCTCCCTATTCCATCCATAGGGAAAGCCTGTGCTCCAGCAGTGGGGACATTAATAGGTTGATGATGATGATGATGATGACACTTGTTGATGGATTGTGTCAAGTACCAGAATGAGAGACAAGAGTTTGTCAAACAAATGTAAATTGAATATGTCAGACATTGGTGTGTTTCACAGCGTTCTGGCCCAACCGGTCTCGGAAGAGGACAGAATGCTGTATCGCTTTATATGTCTGCCGCGACTTTCTTCCGACAATGACATATTACGTTAATAGGGGTGATGACGGTGTACAGTAAACGAAATTCTATTTAGTCCGTCAGTTAGATGATCAAAAAATAATGGACACGTATATTTTCTTTGGGCAATCAACCAAAAGATTACAAAGTTATAGCGCGTCAAAGTTTGGGAGTAGGGGCTCGTGACGTCACTTTTGAGTGAATTTTCCCTTATAAGTGTACTCAAACGTGACGTCATGCGACTTTTCCAATCAATATATCTCTGCAATGTTTATATTATGTGAAAAAAGAGAAAATACGTGTCCAATACTTTTTGATAATCTACCTGATAAACGAAGAAAGAAAAATAGTCATCATCCCTATTGGCTTAGATGATTTGTTAATTTATATAAGTACACGATGGGACTGAAATGTCTGTAAAGATAAAATAAAGAGAGAAAAAACTTAAGTGTAACTTTAAAGTGAATTGATGTCTCTGAGTACGACTAAGACCAGGATGGAACATCGAAACAATACTAAATCAATAGGGTATTTGACAAGTTTCAGAAAACGATCTCATGTTATTGACTAATGTTTATGGAGTCCGTAAAAAGTGGATATTCATCATTCTGTTGTGTATTTCAGTGAAAATAACCAAATCAAAAACTCCATTTTCAAGTTGCCGCGAAAACGTTTCTCTGGACAATATGGCGTCTTACTAGCGTGTGACGTCATACGACTGTTATTAAAACGTCAAACGATACAATGTAATATCACTTTAACCGGAAGTTTACTTGCGTATGACGTCATTTTGGGCTCCGCCAATCCCAAAAGTTTTGGGTCACGTAACAATAGATAAGAAAACTATTGTCTTTTTCGTGGGTTTAAAGTAAAATTATGAATGTTTTTTTTGTAAAAATAGTAAAATTCCCTGCCAATATTCATTCTAAATACAGATGCTAACAATTGGCACTTTATTTTTAACTAGTGGCCCGCCCTCGCTTCGCTTCGGTGTAGAGCTGAAGTGTAGACTACAGTTTTTGTTCTCAGGCTTGTATTATACACAATGACATTCATCTATGATTCTTCTTATACCTGCATGCAAAGTTTCAGCCCGATCGGTTTAAAATTGACAAAGTTTCATACAAACTTTCATTCCCTATTTTATCCCCTTGGGGGTAGAATTGATCAAAATCCTTTCTTAGCGGATGCCTACGTCATAACATCTACCTGCATGCCTAATTTCAGCCCGATCCGTCCAGTGGTTTGGGCTGTGCGTTGATAGATCACTATACAAGTCAGTCACCTTTGAGTTTTATGTATATAGGTACTGTCAAATACCCTATTCTGTAATTATTTGCTGCAAGATTTTTATCTTCTTATATATGTATGTTGAAACATCATTAAAGATAATAGGTATATCCTCGACGACCTCCGTGGCCGAGTGGTTTGTACGCCGGGTTTCATGGTGTCGCCGACTCGAGAGGTCCCGGGCTCGAATCCCGGTGGGGGCAGATGTTTGTGTGATGAATACGAGCATTTGTACTCCAGTCATGGATGTTTAATATGTAATTCTATATAAATATACTTATATATGACGCCATGACACCCAAAATGGCCTAACTATTTTTTTTACAATATTGAGTTTATGATTTTCTCCAGTTCGAATTGATCATTTTGATAGAACCAGAGTGATCTAAAAGTGATACAACGAATATTCACTAGATGGCAGCATAATCGCTGTTACTGGCCTAAGTGAGATAGGCTACTATGGTTAAAAAATTAGTTAGGCCACTATGGTTCTCATGACCTCATATGTACAGTATATGTATTCTATCTCTTATCCTAGTCTGCGGTCACTTCCTGAATATAAGTTTGTAAGGTCCCTGAAGCAATGGCTATTATATAATGCATTTTATAATCTTAATGAATATTTTAATAATAATGTTTTATAAAAATGACTATTGCATGCCCGATTAGGGTAACTGTTTATTTCAATTATGTGTACTAACATCTAGCGGTAATACTAAATGTAACATTTTTGCAATAAAGAATTATTCTATTCTATTTTATTCTAGTATCCCATATCCAAACAAGCCTTATAGTGCTTACTTTGGGGCTAGGCTAATAGGGTATTTGACAGTGTTAAAAATAAAGTGTCAAATGTTAGCATCTGTGTTTAGAATGAATATTAACAGGGGTTTTTACTGTTGTTACAAAAAACAACATTCATAATTTTACTAAAAACTAATGAAAAAGATAATAGTTTTTTTATCTTTTGTCACGTGACCCAAAACGTTTGGGATTGGCGGAGCCTAAAATGACGTCACACGCAAGTAAACTTCCGGTTAAAGTGACATTACATTGTATCGTTTGACGTTTTAATAACAGTCTTGTGACGTCACACACCAGTGAGACGCCATATTGTCCAGAGAAACGTTTTCGCGGCAACTTGAAAATGCGAGGTTTTGATTTGGTTATTTTTACTTAAATACACAACGGAATGATGAATATCCAGTTTTTACGGACTCCGTGAACATTAGTCAATAACGTGAGATCGTTTTCTGAAACTTGTCAAATACCCTATTGCTGTGAGTGTTGAAAATATTATTATTATATTATTGTTATGTCATCAGGAACGTATGGTTATGGAACCCCTCGCTTATTCTGAACTAAGAACTCGTCCTTCGCTGGAAGAACGCCTGGAGTCCATTATATCCGGAGCTGCTCTGATGGCCGATAGCTCCTGCACCAGGTATACTATAAAAATAGAACATAACATATTTTTCGTACCACTTGCTCAAAAAAGTGTCATTCTATGCCACAAAAAGCGAACATAACAATAGTCATTATTAATCTGTTAAAAACAGGGAAAGAAAATTGTACTGAATTTCATTCATCCTCTAGGGGGAGAATGTGATTTAAATTTGGATTACTTACCGAAATTTATACTGAACTACATCTGTGTTTACACCGTTGAGTTTGTATATAAAGCATTTCTTATCTATTAGACAAGTCCGTCCGTCCGTCCGTCCGTGGTGCTGTTTCAGCGGCCAAACCGTAAGAGATAGATAAAGAGAATATTTAAGTTATAAGTTAAGAATAGTCTGATAAGACTACAAACCGGATTTGAGTAACGTAGCACTTCCGGTTTTCGAGAAATCACTTGAGTTCTATTTTGTAATTATCACAATTTTAATTAACTATTTAAATGTATTTTTTTTTTATTTTATTTTTTTTAACTAAATAATTTCAAACGAAACCACACAAAATTTCCGAAGTTTTCAGGTTTTGGTGAACATTTGGTTCACTGGTTTGCTAGTTGGTTAATAATCTACTATTATTAACCCTCATTTACGCATTTACAGATACAAATTCAAAAGTGTCAGGGCTAACCTGGACCCTGCCTCAGCATTAGCTGATGCAATATTGTGTCGCACCAACGCTGTTATTCTGGCAGGCCCGTTTAGTAACACAAAATAATCATATTATAATAATTTATTTTTCATCATTTAAAGTGGTTAATATACATATTAAAGCGTTGTAGATCGTAAACAATCATATAAAATGAAAAATGGTGTTAGGAACCTAAACATGATTTTCGGTTATCGAGACAGTGATACCCCACCACTCGACATATTTTGTCAACTTATTTTTTTTTACTTCGTCACAATATGGCGCCTAATTTTGTCGATATTGAATTTTGATTACTATCATATCTGTAGTAGCACTCCCATGATTGAGACGAATCTGTTGATGTATGAATCATCAAAATCGGTCCAGGCGTTTGGTCTCTAGTGTGCCACAAAGGAACAAACATACATATATAGACTGATAAACACTATACCCTGTCTGCCCATCGCGCTTCGCGCTCTTGCATTGCGCAGTCGGGTAAAAAAAGAAGTAAATTTTTTTTCATTACGTGAAAGGATGTATGGGCCTAGCATCCTTAGCTTTCAAGTGACAATAAAAAAAAACTTACAACAGTACTTTTTGGCGGGATCGGGAAGCGTCACTTTAGCAGTTTTGTTTTTCTTGTTAAAAATTGTGTTGTGGCGGATGTTATTGTCTAATAATGTTGGATTATTACCCGCTAAGTGTTCGGGAACATGCACAAGTGTTGGCAAGTGAAATAAAATAGCGGAAAGTGTCTTTCGACGTTCCCTCAATAAGTCCACGGGGTGGTTCCAGTAAATCCCCACACATTTACTGAAACATAGGGAAAGGGGGATTGACTTGACTGCCACTTACTATGACTTGATTTATTACTTTGACCACGAGTACTATAGTATTTGTAAACATTTTAACACTTGACATTGGCTAAATGCACAAGCCGTGCGAAGCCTTTTAGAAAAAAATAAAATAAAAATAAAACATACAACAGCAAGCAAAGCAATGCAAAACAAAAAATATATGACTTCGTGTCGTGAATATATTTGTTTTTCAACAAATTTGCTCAGAAAATGCATTTCCGGCTTTTCAGTATACATTATTCGAAAGTTCCAAATGAGAGAAACGATGTTGGTGGCGTTTTGTAGCTAATATCCTTGTTATAATTCGATGTGCCAGTTTTTGTAGTACTGTATTATTATTTAACTAAAAAAACAATAATTTTCTTGATTAAAATTTGCATAATGATTTTTTATGACATTTCAAAGTAAAATGTTTTCATATTGTTCTACGTTTATTAAAAGGTGATAGTAATGTCCTTCAAACAACATTTATTTCATATCTGTAGGACCTTTATGACCAGAGAAATCAAAATTTTTTTGGAAGGGTTATCTAAACAAAAAAAAATTCAAATGGCGGCCAACTCAAAAATAGGGACGCGGGGGAGTGGGGGGGGGGGGGGGGGGGGGGGTTAGACCCCATAATGAAATTAGTTAATTTGTCGATAAAATTAGGTATATTAGATGCCCTTAAATTATCGCTAAGTCATGCCCAGACAGACTGCATATGCCTGGTCCGTGTGGATTTTTCTTTAAATTTCTTTATAAACCATGTTTCAATATTTCTCCCATAGAGACGAACGTCGGGAACGCATCGTGGCAGAATGTAACGCCGTTAGGCAAGCTCTGCAAGATCTACTGCACGAATATATGACAAATGTGAGTATCATACAACATTATTATTATAGCCTTTTAATTCCTAAATAAATATTTACCTAACATACTAAAATTAGAAATTGTTACGTGTCGGGATGGGGTTCGAAATAGGGGTGATGACGGGGTACAGTAAACGAAATTCTATTTAGTTCGTCAGTTAGAAGATCAAAAAATAATGGACACGTATTTTTTCTTTGGGCAATCAACCAAAAAAAATACAAAGTTATAGCGCGTTAAAGTTTGGGAGTAGGGGCTCGCGACGTAACTTTTGAGTGAAAATTGTACTTGTTTAATTGTAAAAGGTGATGTCATGCGACTTTTCAAATCAATATATCTCTGCAATGTTTATATTATGTGAAAAATGGGTGCGTGTACTTATGTAGGCGCGTGAGAAGTTATCCTTCTTTGGCATCGTTTAAAATTAGTTTTTAATTGCATGTAAATAATTAATTACAATAAATTAATAAAAAGTCTGGAAAAGGACACAGTCAATAAAGTTTAGTTTTAATTTGAAAAAATAAATAAATAATCAAAATATTCAATTAAAATCGCTACTGAATATAATTTATTAGAACATATGTGATTTGCACTTGTATGAAACTCAAACACGTATTCCGAATATACAAACTATAACTGTTACTTTATTACAAAAAATAAAGATGTGGTTTTTGGTTCTACTACACCAATGGTCAAGAGATGGCGCTGTAGTCTCCTGAATCGCGCTTTGGTTCCGTTAAGCGACCAACTTCATGCAGTTAAAATTTTGTGTTACAGTGATGCGCGCGCATCTAAAAATTTCACTCTCATCATTTTTTCATAACGCGCCTAAAGAAGTATAACTTCAAAAAGAAACAATACATGTCCAATACTTTTTGTTAATCTACCTGATAAACGAAGAAAAAAAAATAGTCATCATCCCTATTATATGCCAGTTCACGCTTGACAGTTCTTTATTCACCACACAGTTCACACAATCAACACACAATGTTAATTACAAAACACTCACTAGACACTGTATTTCACTACACAAGTCTCTAAACAATCTCACTTGAACACTTTTGCTTGCCTTTGGATTCGCTCCGAAATCGCTGTTGAAACTCAACTGTCTCTGCGCGGCGCCAATCGCGCTTATATACGCCGATCGACGCATTCTAGAAAGTACCTGTTAAATTGAGAATTACTTAGCACCCGCGAGTACGAAGTACCTACTTATACCTACGCAGGTAACACGCATAACTTATAAACGAGTGCAGATGTCGTTGCACTTTCTCCCTTACGCCGCACTGCATAAGGCTCATTTTAGAATGAGCCGCATTACTCGACCTCTATCGCGACCCGCGGTGCTTTGGCACATTCGATCTCTAGCACTTTCGCAGTTCCGTTTCGAGAGCGTTTGTGACAAAATATTGAAAGTTGGTCTGTCTAGTGCCTCTTCACACTAAGGCTCGTGTTACAGAATGACAACTGAGTGTTGATCTTTACTTGAATACAGTTAGAAAGAGATGTCGCTATGTCCTATATATAGCGACATCCCTTTCTAACTGTACTTATTCTTATATATATATAATAAGGTTTTTTGAACTAAATAGATTCAGATAAAAAATTAAACAATAGGGATGATGACTAATTTTTTTTTCTTCGTTTATCAGGTAGGTTATAAAAAAGCATTATTTTTTCTTTTTTCACATAATATAAACATTGCAGAGATATATTGATTTGAAAAGTCGCATGACGTCACGTTTTGTTACAATTTTCATTCAAAAGTGACGTCACGAGCCCCTACTCCCAAACTTTGACGCGCTATAACTTTGCCATCTTTTGGTTGATTGCCCAAAGAAAAAATACGTGTCCATTATTTTTTGATCATCTAACTGACGGACTAAATAGAATTTCGTTTACTTTACCCCGTCATCACCCCTATTGTGTTGCTCAGGAAAGAGAAACAAGATTTATAGCTATTATTTCGTATTATTTTATATTATTCTAATTATTAATATGTTTTTCTATGGTCACTCACTATTTTACCGTCCAGATTGAATGAAGGGTGATGAACCTCATTAATGTATATATATATATATATATTTTATAGATAGTTCCGACAAATAACTCCACCCCACCTGATGTTAAGTGACGGTGAAGTCCAGACGCGAAGCCATCCTCACCTTTTTTTTTTTTGTCTGGGAAATGCTTTACGCATCCTTCAACCACCGGGGGAAGAGGTATGTGGGACTCCTCCCTGCTCATTTCAGCCAGCCCTTAAACCACTAAAACTACCCCACTAAAAACCAGACAATACTCCTGCGGTCACCCGGCGTACGTTCTGAGGACCGCAGTCGCAAGGTGATTGTCGGACCCACCCCGATGAAGGTGCCCCGGAGTATCAGGGGCACCAGCATCAAGAGAGCTTGTGCAATGCAGGCCGGTCCCCCCCCAGGGCAGACCCGCGGCTCTCACAGGAGTGGGAGGGAGAGCGTAGTTCTCTCCGTCCCTCTCCCCCCCCCCCCCCCCCCCATGGCCCTAAGAAGGGCCTTTTGAGCATCTACCGCCAATCGCAATGATCAGACTCACTGTGGGGTGATGCTCCTACCCTGAACCTGAAAAGGGCCGTTGAACGGTGTTCAGCACTCGACGTGCTGACCATCCTAGGGTCCCTACGTGACCCAGCCCCCCCCTTGCCCCTCCGCGGGTTTTCTCCTTTGTAAGGGTGGCAGAAGATGCGCCAGTGTGCGCCTGCCTCTCCCCCCCCTCGCCCTTCTGCTGCGAAGAGAGCCCGCGAGGGCTTGCACCTCGCGGACTCTCCCGCAGCCTCCTTCTGCGAGATGACATCCTCGCAGAAGGAGACCACCGCCTGCCATGACCCGTCGCTATCCAGCATGGCTTTTACCACGCCGGGCAGCGAGAGGTCCGTCCCTACAGTCTCTGCCAGAGTGCTACGCCGCCGATTCACACACCTCTAGAGTGTGCTGCGCCGTGTCCTCGGCATCGCCGCACTCACTTACCCTTAACTATGATTATACCGAAACTTTGCTGTTAAACTAAGTTCCCTACTTTTTGACTTGCACGCAGATTTACTAAAACACACACATACATACATACACACACACACACCCACACAACAAACACACTCACAAACACACACACACACACACACACACACACACACACACACGCATACACATGCGCACTTATTTATTCTGATCGAATTCTGATTGATTTAATTATTTCAATAATGTATGTCTTATTGTAAAACTGTTTTGTTACATAAATAGTTATGATCTATGTATTCGGAAGTGGGCACTGACCCCTGTCACACAGGTCTTTATCCTATTATAGGGGTCAGGGACTACATTATAAACCAGTATTGTAATCAATTTATGTGACAATAAATAAATTATTATTATTATTATTATTACTCATGGCATGAGGGGTCCGCCTCCCTCTGGATCCGGTGCAGATACCTTCCGAAGCATCCGTGCCCGGAAAGTACCTGCACCGATCGAAAGGTAAGCGTCCCCCTCCCCCTGTCCAACCATTCCCTGAATACCGGCCGAATCGCTCCGATCGTTCTCCCCCCCGCCGTCGGGTTGTCGAGTCGCTCCTTCCAGCCTCTCCTGAGCGCTTCTTCTGCCTCCCTGCGTATGCCTGCTGCTTCCTCTATTGTGGCACGCTCTCCGCTTTCCCTCGCCTGGATCCTCCCCTGGTACACTTCTGCAAGCGCGAGTGCTTCCAGATCCCAGGGGGATACATGCCGCCTCATATGACACTGTCCGGTACGCCCGTGCCGCTCTTATGGCCACCAGCCTTTGCGGTCTTCTGAGCTCTGCTCTGTTCAAATTCAAATTCAAATTCTTTATTTGCCATTAAATAGGGTGGGTACATTGAAATGTTCATGTTAACAAATATATAAAGTAGCTTTAAGCCTATTTAGCCATATGATTATAGCATGCAAAAGGAATATTTCCATTTATATTTCTAAGAAAATAATAACAAAATAAAAATACAATTTCATTAATAAATCCGTAATAAGATAGAAAAAGAAAATGTATACATTATATTCAATAGGATATATGTTGTGTACAGTGCCATGCTTTTTATAACCCCCGCGTACTTAGCTAGCTAGTAGCTTTCGGCAACTGGCGCCAGGTCCCCCCACATTTGGGAGCAGTCTACCTAATGCCGCCGCCGCACTTACCAGCTTCGGGGTCAGGAACTTAAAGTGGTAGTCAAACCGCCACTTTCCATCGAGCTCCAGCCCCAAGTACTTCTTGTGCGGCTTTATGGGTATCCACTGCTCGTCCACCATTACTCTCTGGCCTGTGGGCCATAATACATGATGGCCTCAGTCTTAGAGACCGCTACCTCTAGCCCTAATGCGCGGATTCGCGCAATGGCTATGTAAGCCCCTACCGCTGCGCAACGGCTGGCCTCCCCGTAGTCCCGGCCCCGGGCAAGGACAAGAGTGTCATCTGCATAGCAGAGCACTTTTATCCGGGGCACCAGGGCCACACGGAGAGCCCAATCGTAGCCCATGTTCCACAGGAGCGGTCCCAGGACCGACCCCTGCGGAACCCCACAGGCCATCCCTCTCGACGCTAGAGAGCCGTCCGCCCGCACGTATTGTACCACCTCTAGGTAATTTTCAATTACCCTTACTAGGTAGGCGGGGAGCTGGTGGTACCTAAGTGCCACTTTTATAACTTCAAAGGGGAGAGTGTTAAACGCATTTTTGATTTCCAATGACACCGCGACAACCCTCTCCCCTCTGCCAACCGCTGCTTGCGTCTCCCTTTTAACTTCCATTATGGCGTCGATGGTGGAGCGCCCTCCCCTGAAACCGTATTGGTTCCCCGATAGATTAGGGCCCACGGTGTTTAGATGCTGGACGATGCGGTCCGAGAGAATCCTCTCGAATACCTTACCTACCTACGGCGATAAGCCGTCGGGGAATCAAGTGGTCTGTCTTTTTTGTGTAGGAGACAAAGTTTCTCTTCCAGGCCGCCGGGAATCGGCCCTCCCGCAGGCATGAGTCCAAAGCCATCCTCATCCTGCCGGCCTGCATGTATATATATCAGTATATGTATTATATCCAGTGTTGGCATCACATAAAATACACGTTTACTACATGTAGTTTGTTTTAAAAAAAAAAAAAAAAAAAAGTCAACTGAACTGTCAGATCCTCTGCTCATATTTCGGATTTTAAAATTATTATTATGACCCATAAATGGTAAAAAATACCATATTTTTGCAGCCCAAATTTTTCTTTATGACCCCGCATGTGGGCAACCTGAGTGCTGATGTATTTGCCTGGAATGTGATTACATAAAGTCTGCTATTTTGTTGACATTTCCCCGAACAAATTGTGTAACTAAGGACGCCTTGGACATCCACGCCTGTTGCTAGGTACCCGCTACTACTCAGCCAATAGGAGGCTTGATTTGCTCCGGCGGCCTAGCAACCTTGACGGACCTAGGTAACGACGCATGCGTCTTGTCACCAAAAGAAGCAGCTGTCATATAGTCTGACTTTTTATGTTTACTTTTGACGTGACAACGTCTTAAATTAGGTTGCGGCTGGGAGTCACTTATGAAAAAGTGTAACGCTCGGTAACGTTACGATGAGTCTCTCGTGTTAAGTTTAAGTTTACATGTACAATGTTTTAGTAAACAAAATATATTTCTATAGTTAAAATTTGTGCAATTCTTATTTTCATTCAATTCCTTGTTCCTATTGTGCAATTTAATTATATTCATATCAATAAATATTCTACCGAGAAAAAGACGTTGTCACGTAAAATCTTCGCCCGTAAAACCGACTTTACAGGCAACCATTTTTTAAGTTTCTTTAGTGTACATTTTAAGTTTCTTTAGTGTACATTTTAAGTTACTTTTTGTGTTTTTAAGTTTTTATTTATTTTTGAATGTATTTAACTATTGTGAATGCAGTCCGTGACCCAATCTTGTGATGGCACGTCGAACGCGACCCACAACTGTACACAGTGCCACAAGTCTTTTAAATCTTTGAAAGGCCTCAAAATACACACTTGAAAAACACACAGGCAATGTATTAGTCAAAACAATTCACCTTTAGACATCCATCCCATTATTCCGAGTGCGCCTACTTATGATGCCAACGATCCAACTCCTTTCCACACATATCTCAGCCATTTGAAAAATAGTATACCAATAGTTAAAAGAATCCCGCGAGGAGCTCGAATAACCGTTGCTACACATTTGTCACAATTAATCCAGAAATGTTATATAAGCAATTTGACTCAAGACTGGCAGAACCTATTTTTATTTTCATACAGCACACTTCATATCTCAAAAACTGATGAACCGAATTTATCCTTGACACAAAAGATTAAGAATAACTGTGCTGTAAGCTCCTCGCCTTCTCCCGCACCTCTAATCAAACATGATGCCCCTCATAATCGCAAAAAACTCGTTGAAAACAAAATCTGTGACGGAGATCTCAAAGGTGCCGTTCGCCTTTTGTTCTCCAATGACGTGCTATCACCAGATACCCCTGACACCCTTCAGGCCTTACGGACAAAACATCCCCCAGCTCCAACAAACCCATATTTTCTCGACCCACCAACAGCAGGGCAAGCATGCCTTCAAATTCAATACAAAGATGTTATGGATGCCATTTTATCTTTTAAACCAGGTTCGGCTGTAGGTTTGGATGGAATCTCACCCCAACATTTGAAAGATTTAACATCGCATTCTGTGGGTAATGCAGGCGAGCAACTTGTAAATTCGATCACTAAATTAATAAACTTTATGTATTCCGGTAGTGTCAATCCAGAAATTGTTCCTATTCTTTTCGGCGCGAACCTCATTGCCCTGACCAAAAAGGACGGAGGGGTGAGACCAATTGCTGTTGGATCAACACTACGACGTCTGGCCTCCAAAATTGCTGTTCGACATATTTTACCAAAACTAAATTCGGAATTTGAACCCGTACAGTTAGGCTTCGGTGTCAAAGGAGGGTGTGAGGCAGCCGTCCATGCCCTACGCTCCTTCCTTACTTACGGGCAGCCTGACGTGTTGCTCAAAATTGATGTCAAAAATGCATTCAATTCGGTAAATAGGGATACCCTGCTGACAGAAATAAAACAACATATACCGGAAATATACAATTATCTTCTTCTCAGTTACGCCGACCCAACAGAATTGTTATATCGTTCTAATGAACTGTCCTCGGAAGTAGGTTGTCAACAGGGTGATCCCCTTGGGCCTGCAATTTTTAGTTTGGCTATAAATCCGATAATCAAAAATTTAAATTCTAAATTCAATGTTTGGTATTTGGACGACGGAACCCTAGGAGGCGATGTGGATACTGTGTTTTCGGACCTTTTTTTAATCAAAAATAAATTTGAAGCCAGCCAGTTTGGAGCTTAATTTTAGCAAATGCGAACTTTTTATAAATAACAACGACTTAAATTTAAATGACGTTAAACAAAAATTTAATATTTTAGCTCCAAATATTAAAATAGTTAACAGTAATTCCCTTTACCTTTTAGGTTCTCCAATTTTTGATGAATCTATTTCTGAATATATTAATAATTCAATTAATAAATTTCAAAATTCTGCCGACCGTCTCCTTGAAATTAGTCCACATTATGCACTTTGCATCTTGAAATTCTGTCTTTTTGTCCCAAAATTTACGTATGTGCTCCGTTGCTGCTCCTTTTGGAATCACTTAGATCTTTTGTCACAATTAGACGACTTAATCAAAATTAACTTAGAATCGGTTCTTAATATGCAGCTGAACGAGCAATCTTGGACCCGAGCATCCCTACCCATCCGTTATGGTGGTTTAGGGATTCGCAAAATTTCCAGTGTCGCTTTACCAGCCTTCCTATCTTCTGTCCATAGTTCAGCAAATCTCATAAGTAAAATTTTAAGGGCATCCCCTTCAAACTTTGAGATTGCTGGCTTGGAAGAAGCTAGAAACGCTTTCTTAATTGCATGCCCAGGTCAAAATTTTCCAGTTTCTCCAAATTCACAGAGGAGCTGGGACGACATAAATTGCAATTTGACTTATAATCTATATCTTTTAAGCTGTAGTACGGGTTCGGCGCGTGCTAGGCTTTTGGCCGTGGGTACGCATGAGGCCGGCTACTGGCTTCACGCGTACCCTTCGACAAATACAGGCGCATTTCTTGAGCCTGACACACTCCAAATGGCAACCTGTCTACGGCTTGGGGTCCCGGTCTGCGCTCCTCATAAATGTCCCTGTGGCAGTGATGTCGACAAGCTAGGACATCACGGACTGTCTTGCCAAAAAAGTGCAGGCCGCTTCTCGAGACACGCCGCGCTTAACGATATCATACGCCGGTCCCTTGCCACCGTCAACGTGCCAAGTCTACTTGAGCCGACTGGTATTGCAAGAGACGATGGCAAGAGACCGGACGGTATGAGTTTGATTCCATGGAAGATGGGTCGGGTGCTAGTATGGGATGCAACCTGTTCAGACACGCTGGCCCCTTCCCATCTACATGGAACCAACAACAGAGCTGGTGCGGCTTGTGAAGCGGCTGAAAAAGTTAAGGCAGGCAAATACAGGGGTCTAGGCTCCGAATATGATTTTGTCCCATTCGGTGTCGAGACCCTTGGTCCGTGGGGTCCTAGCGCTATAAGGCTTTTTAAAGAAATAGCGAAAAGATGAGTCGACATCACAGGAGACCGAAGAGCTGGCAGCTACCTCGGACAAAGAATAAGTCTAGCTATCCAAAGGGGGAACGCTGCCAGTATCTTCGGAACCTTGCCTAAAGGGACTCCTTTTAATAATGTATTTTAGTTATTATATTTTATTTTTTAAGGTTTTTAGTTTTAGGTTCATTGTTATAGTATATTTTTTGTTTGTTTTTTGTTGTTAACTTGTACGTTGTACGTTTTGTTTTACTTTAAGTTAAATATATTTTTATGTGTATGTTATGTGTTGTCAATAATAAAAACCTTTTTCTTCTTTCTTTCTATCCGTTACCCTAGCATCCCATAACCCAAGCCTTACAGTGCTTACTTTGGGGCTAGGCTAATTGGTAAGAGTTAGAAATAATTGTTTATTTATTAATTTCTAGGCCGGAAAGTCTGAACAATCGGAAGGCTTGGAGCGTGCCATAGAGCACATGTGCCGCAAGACCAGAGACCTGCGCCGTCAACTACGCAAAGCGGTCGTCGATCATGTTTCCGACAGGTATACTTTATTTTTTCATATATTTATCTTTCCTCCGTTTACAAATACATTTTAAACGCTTATTTTATAATTAACTTATGGTAAATGTAAAGAAAAGTTTACTAGAAAAAAAATTCCACGCGGACCAGGCAGCGGACGGGACTCGAACCCGCACCCTTCGCAGTCCGGGCGAATGCACTGACCAATTATGCTACCGCGGCCCCGGACCGCGTCGAAATTCCTCTAGCCATTCTTAAGCTGCAAGGCAGCGCCATCTCTTCGCATTATAGGTAACCCACAATGTCAAATGAATACTTTTTACATTGCGAATTGCGTCTGTGGAATTTTTTCTAGTTACATGTTCTTTAGATTCAAAATCTTTTTGTTTACACCACTTTCTATTCGATTCTAAACCTTATCTTCATACGTTTAACGTCCAGTTTCCTGGAGACCAACGTCCCCCTGCTGGTGCTGATGGAAGCCGCTCGCAACGGACACGAGAAAGAAGTCGAAGAATATGCTCTAGTATTCACTGAACATGCGAACAAATTGGTTGAGGTAATATTGTGTTCTTAGCCTAGCCCCAAAGTAAGCACTGTAAGGCTTGTGTTATGGGATGCTAGGGTAACGGATAGAATACATATACTGTACATATATAAGTATCTTTATATATATAATTGTTCTATGAGTGTGTATGTCACTGAACTTCTCTTAAACGACTGGACCGATTTTGATGAAATTTTTTGTGTGTGTTCAAGGGGATCTGAGAATGGTTTAGATTCACAATTTTGTCCGCTGGACAACCCCTATTTTTTTTAGGGCGGTACGAAGTTCGCTGGGTCAGCTAGTATTTATATAGAAATACATATTAAACATCCATGACTGGAGTACAAATGCTCGTATTCATCACACAAACATCTGCCCCCACCGGGATTGGAACCCGGGACCTCTCGAGTCGGCGACACCATGAAACCCGGCGTACAAACCACTCGGCCACGGAGGTCGTCTTTGTTCATCATCATCATCATCAGCCTATTAATGTCCCCACTGTTGTAGCACAGGCCTTCCCTATGGATGGAATAGGGAGATTGGGCCATGACCCCCCACGCGGGCCCAGTGCGGATTGGTGCGTGCTAACGACTGCAGATGCAGCCGGGACCAAAGGCTTAACGTGCCTTCCGAAGCACGGAGGAATGAGAGATAGTAAATTTTTGGTCACCCATCAATGATCTTTGTTCAACGATATTAATTACCACTAGATATACCACGTGCGCTCAAAATGTGTCCCAATCAAGAAGTGCTTGAACACCACTCAAGCACTTCTTGGTACACAGTCACTCACGGATCGTCGAAAAGTCTAGTACCTGCTATATTGCTAACAGCGCATTCAGAATTGCGCGTAGATTCAAAGAAATAAGGCCTTCATTCTTCGTGTAAAATCTTACGAGCTTGCATTTCGAATTGTCGATAACTCTTTGACGCATGCGTTTTAATTAAGACCTTATACAGTATGCATTAAAGGTGACTTTAAATGTTTAAATAATGCCTTATATTGTTTTTGCTTACGCGATCATCTCACGGAGCTCTGTGGCTCGTCCAATGTACCTTTTGGACAGATTTCGGCTACGATTCCGTTCGTGATGTTGTATCTAGGGTATTCAATATTGTTGTTTCTCTCTCTAATTTGTTTTATCCATGAGACAGAACAGAGACGAAAGGTCTATTCATCCATCAAATCGCATATGGTCTCTGTAGACGACGCGACGCGCGCCTTTATATAAATCCCTAAAATATGTATGTAATATTTATAACTAAATTCTAAAGTCATTTAATAAATAAAACTAGTTTTTACGGGTTAATGCACGAAACTTTATTTATTTATTGACGTTTCGCAGCCTTTTCAGGTCTGCATCGTCAGAATAATGATTTTATTTCAAATTATTATTATTAATTATGATTTTTTTTAAATAAAATCATTATTCTGACGATGCAGACCTGAAAAGGCTGCGAAACGTCAATAAATAAATAAAGTTTCGTGCATTAACCCGTAAAAACTAGTTTTATTTAATGAGTGATGTGCGTGAAAACCTAAGAAACAAATAAGTCATTTAATTTTGAAACATACATTTAAATATTTGTTTATTGTATTAATTATATGTTGCGTTTTATAGTTTAATAAATATGCCGTAGGGTACGAGTATGTGTGCGAATGCGCCTTCACTTGCCTTTGATTTTGTTGATCGAATAAACGGTTGCATAAGTTACTAAGTCAGTTGCTAAGCCATAGCCGACGCAAGCACACGCACGCATGCCGCACCCGAAAGCTCAACTCAACTCAACTCATTTATTGCAACCATAATGTGTACAGTGGGTGGTAGGTACTTATATAAATATGAGCATTATGGACCCCGTCGGGCACGCAATTGGTTAATAGAATAGAGGATACGCTTCTCAGAAGAACAACACTAATAGTAAAATTTAAATTGGATGTTAGAGATTGTTTCATTTGTTTATTTTTGATTGTTATAATTGGATTGGATCTGATTTAATTATAAATAATAATATTAATAATGTCACAAAATTAAATATAATAAATAATTAAATAAATTATTTGTACATGTACATTAATAATTACTGATCTTATCATTAAAATATTCATTTACATTATAATAACATTTGTTAATAGCTCTTCGCACAGTATCTACTGCGTTATTATTTTCGAAGTCCTTGGTCACAGCGCCAACTTACATCGCGTACAGTCTCATAAGTTACGGTCAGAGTGCATTCAGATTCAGACTCGGAAAGCAGGCTCGTGAGATGTCAGCTTGAGGTGTTAGGAACAAAAGGGAGGTGCTAGTAAAAAATGGTTGCCTGTAAAGTCGGTTTTACGGGCGAAGATTTTACGTGACAACGTCTTTTTCTCGGTAGAATATTTATTGATATGAATATAATTAAATTGCACAATAGGAACAAGGAATTGAATGAAAATAAGAATTGCACAAATTTTAACTATAGAAATATATTTTGTTTACTAAAACATTGTACATGTAAACTTAAACTTAACACGAGAGACTCATCGTAACGTTACCGAGCGTTACACTTTTTCATAAGTGACTCCCAGCCGCAACCTAATTTAAGACGTTGTCACGTCAAAACACTCGATTGCATACCCATCGGTCAGTCCGTCTTAAGTTAGCGAATGAATCGGTTTGGTGACAAAGTGCACGATTTGTCCGTCCCAGTCGCGTGGGCAATAGAATAGATTATAATAGCATCAGGGGGCCAATCGCCTAACGGAAATGCTTTGGGAAACGCTAACGCTTACGATTTTATATTGTTATTTCTAGCCGCCTGAGGTTTTCGAATACCTCACGCTCATTTTTTTTAATATTGTTATTACCAATGCAAAAGAAAAAGAAAGAGCGCGAGGCATTTGAATACCTCAGGCGGCTAGAAATAACAAAATAAAATCGTAAGCGTTAGCGTTTTCCAAAGCATTTCCGTTAGGCGATTGGCCCCCAGGTGTTTCTTAGTAGCCTATTAGGGCCCCCTGTGTCGTGGTGAGTTTAAGTGTTCCCAAAACCCTGGATATTCCAATCATATTCGCTTGGCTTTGGCCGGCGGGTTCTGCATAAGGAGGAGCGCTCCTCCCCTCGCCGTTGTACTGAAGCCGCTGATGGGACACTAGTCTGTAAGTCCTTAGATTTTATATTTGGTTAGGGTTAGGCATATTTTAGGCATAGTTAGAGGAGCTCGATGGCGCAAGTGGTTAGCGCGTTCGGCTGCGATCGTTGAAGTTAAGCAACTTTCGTAGTGGTCGGTCATTGGATGGGTGACCATAAATTTAATAACCTGAGCTCCTCCGTGCTTCGGAAGGCACGTTAAGCCGTTGGTCCCGGCTGCATCTGCAGTCGTTAGCACCCACCAATCCGCACTGGGCCCGCGTGGTGGGTCATGGCCCAATCTCCCTATTCCATCCATAGGGAAGGCCTGTGCCCCAGCAGTGGGGACATTAATAGGCTGATGATGATGATGATGATGAAGGCATATTTAACGTGTCTTCCAACGAGCCGTGTATCGCGGTGCTAAGTACGCCCCGGCGTTTTGGTTCGAACATGAGGAAAGCAGGTGATGGCCACAGTGAAGGCAGGTAATACGAGACGCGGACGCGAGCACTGTTGCCAGGTTAAGGGAGGTTACTCCACGATACGTACTTTTAAATATAAATACAGGGTGTTACAGAATTCCGAAATAAAATTTGTAGGTATGTATTCCGAAATAAAAATTTGTAGGTATCTGAGCGGGGCGCAGGGGTGCCTGGGGGAGAGATGGGGGTCAGTTTAGGTAGTAGTAATCGTGCGCATTTATAGGGTTATCATAGGCAGGTGTAAAACGATATTTTTATTAATTTAATTGGAAAATAAAAGTGGTCTGAAAGGCGTCAAACTTTCGTAAGTAATTCTATACAAGGAACACAACCAAACCCTAAAGTTTTATTTCGGACTTTTGTCACACCCTGTATAAGGATTATTTACTTAAAATGCAACAGGACGCCTAAAACCTGTATGTATTCATTTTTATTGTTTGATATGTATTTATCATTCATGTGTAATATACTTTTATGGTATTTGTGTAGATATATGCATGTATATGTCCCTGTGCTTCTATTTTATATTGTGTTGCGTTCCATTTTATTATAAATTATTATTGCCCATTATATATTATCCACAGTTGTACACTCATAAATGAATTTAATTTTTGCGCGTAGCGGTACCTTTATTTAATATTAGTAGGTATCTGCGGAAGACCAGCGTCGAAGCATCGTTAGATGCTCCGACATTATGCTGAGTAGATACCTTTTCAGCACCATGTATATTACTTGTGTATGTATTATGTATGTTATCAAAATGGTCATGGTACTGAATAAATATTTTTTCTTTCTTTCTTTCTTTCAAATTTGGGGGTTTTTTAAAGCGATCGATGGGGGGATTAATGGGGGAAGAAATTTTGTTTTGGGGGAAACGGGGGCTTTCTTTATTACATTTTTATATAAAAATAAAATCACTTCATAAACTTTTAATCTGTAAAAAGTCGCAATCGACAGTCATTCAACAGTCTCTTTTTCTCATTCGACGCGTTCGAAGTTGTTGATCTAGAAACTTAAATTGGGGGGTGGTTTCGCAGTTGTAAACTTGGAGGAGTTTTCTAATGAAGATCGATTGGAGAATATGGGGAATACCATCATTTGTTTCCCTAATTAAAAGTAAAAAAAAAAAAAACAAAAAAGTTTATTACGATACCACATTTGTTTTACATCAAACCGGGTGGGTTCCTTCTATTAAGTGTTAAACACCTGTACCAGAAGGAACCACTCTTCCATAGCATCATTAATATTTCTTATGGTAAGGTCTTTTCATTGGATTTTTAATACATTGTAAAAAAAATAAAAATAAAAAAAATAAAAAATATATAAATTATAATTTATATAAGCGGTTGAGTGTGTGTCTGTATGTGTGTGTATGTGTGTGTACGTGAGTGTGTGTGTACAAATGCTCTTT